TCAATACCCAAGCAATATAATTTACAGCAATACTAACTTACTTTAAAACCTTCAAAATTCAATTAAACAACACTTTAAAACCTTCCATTTTACTAGAATTAAAAGCTTATATATATTTCTTTAAGTTTCCTACATAAAAACCTTAAAATACATACTAATTCATGAAATTACAGCTAGTTTAAAGCTTTATAAAAATCTGAAAATTTATTTAACACATGAAATCTTGAAATTATAGAGATCTTTATCACTACATACATTATATAGAAAGTTAGTAGACTTTAAACCCAAAAATTCCTCAATTTAATGTAATTAAAGACTCCAAAAACAATAACCAAAAATCTGAAAATTTATTCTTGCAATCAAACTTTAAAGTTTCAAACTTTATAATCATAAAATAACCACAACCTTTGTTTAATAAAATTAAAATCAATACAATTTAAACCCAAGATTAAAACTTTAATAATCTGAAAATTTATTTTAAACATTAAACCTTCGTTAAAAATCAAAAACTGCCCGAAAACCATATTTAGAAGCTGAATTTGGCCACGAGAGGGTGGTGCTTGAGTTTTGATTAAAACGTCGTTTACACACGAAAAACACTATGTTTTTGTAAAAATCGGACGAGTTAGAATCTAAACGTGATTAAAAAAAATAAGAACTTAGATCAAAGTTGATTACGGAAAACTGATAATTTGTTTTTATGCTTAATTAATCATTAGAAATTCAATAGGAACAAAAGCCCCAAATTAATTGATCATTAGAACCCTAAAATCCCAATTTAACTAAATTAACACCCTAGGTTTAAAATTACAAAATCTGAAAATTAAAACGACAATTATAATCTGAAATTATTAGTTTAAAACATCAAAAACATGATTTTGATACTAAATAAACTAATTTCAAGCAATAAAAATCAAAACCCAAAAAATCAATTACATAAGCTTTATGAAAATAATAAGAAATAAAGGAGGAAGAAAATAAGATTAACCTTTTTGTGTGGGAAAAATTTGGGGATTCATGGGGTATTTATAGGAGAGAATTGTAGGGTAGAATTGGGCCTCATGAAAATTATGGGCCAATTAAATAAACAAATGGGTTAGGCTTTGTTTTTATGATAATGGGTTGTAGGATATAGGTTCATAAAATAATTTAGCCTAAAATATTTTTTTTGACCCAATTAATAATTTAAAACTTTTAAAAATTAAATTCTGGAAAAATACAAATAAATATTATAAATAAAATAACATTTCATTTATAAAATATTTAAAAATACGGGGGATTACAAAAGTGTTGTTAGTTTTTATGAAACAGAAGAAGTAATTTTTATAGAGACAATACTCAACACGGTTTCTCTCCGTCTAAGGAAGGACAAAGAGTTGTACTAGTGTTTTGGGGTGCAAAGGCACTAGGAAATGTGACTCTGGTTAAGGTAAAGACTTAAGAGCAATGAATCCCAAGTGTTTGCTTAAGTCCTTGGAATTGCTCGTTAGCTAGACCTGGTAAATGGGTCGTTCGAGTCTGGTATGGGTCGGGTCAATTTCGGGTCGAGTCATTTCGGGTTAGGTAACTTTTGGGGTCGAGTATGGGTCAACTCATTTTGGGTTTTGGGTATGATTCGGCTCAGGTTTCGGGTCGGATCAATTTTGGGTCGGGTCATTTCGGGTCAAGTATGTTCAGGTCAAAATCAGGCCTAGTCGGGTCAAAATTAGGTCAGGTCATGTTCGGGTTGTTCTATTTGTGGATCAAGAATCAAGATCAAATCAATAATTTTATATTTTGTTATTGTTATTATAAGAACTATCAAATCAATTTATGAGTTTAGCTACGGTTGAAGATGAACAATTTGAGTTATTTTTGGTACTAGACATTTTTAGTTCAATTATAATGTGATTTAGTTTGGGACATTTCGAATATCAGGTCTGTTCGGGTATCGGATTTGTTCGGGTCAAACACTTCGAGTCAATTTCGGGTCGTGTCAGTTCGAGTGTCGGGTCTGGATCGAGTCAACTCCATTTTCGGGTTGGGTATGGGTCAATTTCAAGTTTCAGCTCATTTTCATGTCAATGTTTTTGGGCCGGGTCATTTGGGTTGGGTGATCAGGTCTAGGTCAATATTGGCAGGTGTATCGTTAGCTAGTTTCAAGTCTTGCCAATGATTTGTGTACAATTTAAGGTCAAAATTAGTTACAGGTTTGTGAATACCCCAACTAAAGGAGGCCCCCGAAAATTGCAAGACTTGAAGCTGTTATTGCTGTCTAGTTTGATGGTAGGTTAGAGCTATTAATGCTCAGGGAAAATTTACCAAACTAAGTTTAATTACCAAATAATTTAATTTTTGAAAATAGAAGCGTGGCCAAACTATTTACCAAACTAAGCTTTCAGGGTCAAACGTTATCTCGGACAGCGTTTTACATGTTGACTTTTTTATTTTAAAAAACATATATTTCTGATTTTAAAATAAACAAATATGTTAATGAAACGCTGTCTGAGGCAGCGTTTCTAGGCGTAAGTTGCATGGATTTGGTATTTGATATGCATGATAAGATAAACATGGATTATAAGATAAATTTGGTATTTGATATGCATGATAAGGATAACACGGTTCAAGTAGCACATGATAATTATTGTAGCACATCATGATAATTCATGATAATTACTACTTAGGGGCCATTTGGTTCGCACAAGGTAAACGGAATGGAATCAACAAAGGAAAAGGAGGAGAAAGGAAAGTTAATCCCTCATTTTTGTATTGTTGTTTGTTTTACATAAACAAAGGGAATCACATTTGCAACCACCACTACTCTCCTCCTTCTACAACCAGTCAACCACCACTACCCATTAAATATACCATTCACCTACCACCACCACCAATTTAGCCACCACCCTCCTCACGACCTGCCACCGTCTCCCCAGTCGCCTGCCTTGGCCACGCTGATTCCCTCCCCTCTACTGCCGTTGATGCCCTCTTTTCTCTCAATTTTTATTTTTTTGGGGTGGTTTTGTGGTGGATCTGGAGGTTTTGGAGATATGGGTGGTGGTTGTGTCGAATTGGGTTTGGTGGTTTACACAAAAGGTGGGTTTTTCGGGTGGGTTTGGGTCGATTTTGGTGCGAATGTTTTCGGGGAGGGTGGGTTTAGGGTGTTTTCGGTGGGGTGGTTTTCAGGGAGGGTAAGGCGAGGTAAGGTGAGGCGATGGGTTTCGGTGGTGGGCGAGGGTGAGGCGAGGGGTTTCGGTGGTGGGCGAGGGTGAAGGGAGGGGTTTCGGTGGGGTGGCTAGCTGTTTCGGTGGTGGGGAGTGTGGTGCGGTGGTGGCAGGGTGGTTTTGTGTAGTTTCGGTGGTGGCTGGGTGGTGGCGTTAGTGTGTCGACGATTTGTTGGTGGCTAGGCGATGGTTCTAGTGGTGGTTGGGCGGTGGTGTCGGTGGGCAGTTGGTGTTTCGAGGGTGGTCAAGGTTGTTAAAAGGTTGGTCAAGGTAGGTGGGTGAAGAGGAGTTTAGGGGTTAGGGTGATTCCCTTGGGGGGGGGGGGTTGGGGGATGAAAATAGAGGAAAGTGGGGTAATGGGAGGGGTAAAGGGAATGATTGAATTTGCCTATCAAACATCAACAAAGGGAATCATGACAGTTGATTCCCTTTCCCTTTGTTAAATACCCCCAACCAAACGACCCCTTAGTATATTGATAAACATGCAAATAGATAAACATGCATGCTATAGCGTAGCCGTAGGTTTTGGTATTTGAGGATAGCCATAGTTGCCGGTTTTCTCTTGATATTTTCTTCTTGATATATATGTACTGCATACACATTGATGAAACACAAGTGAAGATTGTTATTTGTTACATCTTTTCATGGTATCAGAGCCGTTTTTTAAACCCAACAAAATGGCCGGTGGCAGCACGATACCACCACCGTTAAACCCCAAAATTGAATCAAACTCCCCCTTTTATCTTGTGAAGGCAAACACAACTCCTTCGCCTTCTCAACCGTCGGAAATAAACGACAAACACACACAACATCCTACGGGATTCTCTGCTGAGCAATGGCAGTCCCTAGTTATTGCTTTTGGTGCCTCCTTGCCTCCTTCCAATTGATTGAGTGGTGAGTGGATAATAGATACAGGATGCTCTCATCACGTCACGGGAAATATAACATGTTTAACCAACATTAAGGACTTACCACCGTTTCCTGTTGGTCTCCCGGATGGCAAGAATGTGGTAGCAGTGAAGGAGGGTGATGTTAACCTTACAAAAACAATCACCCTCAAAAATGTTCTTTTTGTCCCTAAATTAAATCGGTTTCACAATTAAGCAATGATTTAAATTGCTATGTCATAACTAATATCCTAATCCCTATTATAAGATTTGAATTAAAAATATAATATATGTACCCATAAAAGATAATAAAGTTAACCACATTACACTTGCAATTTGGTTTTTAATTTGGCTCTTTAAAATGGATTCTTAGTTGAATAAAACTTAAAATAGCCAAGAAAAAAAGGAGGAAAAAAAAGTAAAAGAGAAAAAGTTTTAATTTTTAATATTATTTTTCTAATGTTAATGGCTTTGCATGCAAATTAAAGAATAAAGAAGTTAATTAATTTTGACTGCCAGATACTCCCTATATATATCATCTCCCAAAGCTTAGACTTTTTTTTTTACCAACATACGTGAAAATCCATGCATCTCAAGCCTGAAACGCGGCCTCAGTCAGCGTTTCATTAACAATTTTTACTTTTTTTTTTTAAATTACGAATTTTAAAAAAAAGTCATCAAGAGTATAAACGCTCAACATATTTTATTTATTTATTTTAGAATAAAAAATATATGTTTTTAAAAAAAGGTCAAACATGTAAAGCACTGTCCCAAACAGCGTTTTACACATTGTTTTTTTTTTTTAAAAAAATCAGGGATAAATGCTGTCCGAGACAGTGTTTTACCTTGAAAGGTTAGTTTGGTAAATAATTTAGCCACGCGTCTATTTTAAAAAATTGTTTGGTAATTAAGCTTAGTTTGGAAAATTGTCCCAATGTAATGGTATTTGGAATTTTATTTAGAGTTTGTAATCTCAATTGTTTTATACATGTAAAAAAAAAACACAAGTTAGCAGAATTTAAATGTAAAGTTGCTGTCGTCAAAAAAAAAAAAAAAAAAAAAAGTCCAATCTTATTGGGTACAACAATACAAATATTAAAACTGTAACTTCCATTGCAAAACGGGCATTTTTAAGACACAAGTCGATTTGAATTGACTCATTCGAAGTGAAATGCATCCAATTATGCAATATATGACCCAGATACTGAGGAATCCAAGTGACAACAGCATCCAACAAATGAAATTGAACTCCATCATCGTAAGAATTCACGAATACGCACAGGCCTCTTTACTGCATTTGTAAAGCCCTGCAAAATGGAACATCAAGCATGAAGAAATATCAGTTTAAGGTCGGTCCTGGCCAGAATATAGCAGCGTGCCAGTAACCTACATATCAGTAACGCTAGAAGCAGCAAAATTCCAAGGTATTCTATCATATAAGCTCAGGATGAGATGGACCACACGACAAAATTAAGCTACTCCACATAGACGGTTTCAAAACCTCCATTACACAGACTTAATGTAGATTTAAATAAGGCTCAGACCATTTACATGAAGACTTATCATAGGATGAAAAATGACAACTAATCTAACACCCCATTTTTCAAATAGCTACAGCATACCTGTCGCTTCATTATTATCACATAGAATCCCAATATTTACATAAGAGACTTATGGTGCCAATAGTTGTCACTTCAATATTATCACAGACTGCTGATTTGTGTTATGTGACAGCTTACAAGTTAAACATTGTGGATGGACTAGGGTTTGTACTGGAGAATGGGTTTTGTTAGAATGTTTGTATGAGATAATGGGTTTTGTTAAATCTATTTGCCCCCCTATGAATGACCCAACACGTTGGGCTGAAATCTCCTGTATGGCATTGGCCTAATTTTCAAGGCGTATATTCTGTTTCTGTTATGGGAGTATTATATAAACTTCGTAGGTTTTGACCTTAGCTATCGTGTAATCTGTAAATCCTTGAGATCAATAAAACTTCCTCTAGCCCGCTCATGGACATAGTTAACACTCACCATAAAATAGTTTCAGTAAATGGCAAGAAAAGACGCGAGCCAAAGCGCCGCTGATGAAGAAGCCACAAATGGTCATTATAGAGAAGGCACACTAGACGATATCATTACCAAGCTCACAACGGAAGTTATTGTACTTTATTCATTAAGTACTCCTTTGGTTGAAGTTTGTGCCGGTTTGTGCATCTATGTTAAGTTGACTTACACCTCAATTATAGACTTATTGTTGGTAAGAAGGTTCTCTTCTATGAGCATTTGAGAGGGGCAATTGGCCCCCATGTCTCTCCACCATATTTCTTTCATACGAAGTATTAATTAATACTAATTTTTACTTCATAGTGCAAACTATTTTAATTTTTGCAATCATTATAATTCTAGTGCTACTTGGTACAAGATCACCAAAACATCACTATCAAATTCAACATAGACAAATCACTACATACCTCGTTGAACTTGAATAAAAGATGATGCCCATCTCTCTCAGCGTTTGCTAGCCTCTCTTCTAAACTGTCCACATTGTGGCAACTCTTGTGGCCAATTTTTTTAAACCTGGTACAGTCAGCATGAGAAATATCAGAAAGCAACAATGACACATTCTCCGACAGACTGTGTAACACCCCGTAATTTTGTCAGTTAATTTTGTATTTAAAATTACAATGTATAATAAAACAGCAGAAGTATAGGGGGTGTTATGCCATACTCAAGAGTACTCCTTCTGTCCCATAATACTTGGGACTTGGGGTGGACACGTAGTTTAAGAAAACTACAAGTGAGTCCATTTAAAACATTTGTTTATTATATAAAGGATTCTTCTTTGTATTTCTATATTGTAAGAAAATAAAAAGTGGGAGAGGTGGGGACAGTGAGAGAGAAAATATATGATTTAATAGGGTTTTGGGGTTCGTGGTCCCAAAGAGAATATAAAAAAATATTTTTTTATTAGTGGTCTCATTCCATATTTGGCAACGTGTCAAGTATTTTGGGACGGAAGAAAATAGTAAATGTGTCAAGTATTATGGGACAGAGGGGTATAAGACAAGTACAAATCATCCATATAGAATTTAATCAAATTAAGTTTAAAATCTTAATAAAATACAATGACTTATTATAAAAAAAAAAAAAAAAATTAGTTAAATAAATCACAATAGATAAAAATCCCAAAAAATAGTTCTAAGTTCTAACTATAGTGTTATCACCAATGCATCATCATTCATATAAGTCTCATAATTACTTGTGGAAGACACGAAAACAAATTGTGAGCCATATCTCATTGAATGATTATTCTAGCACGTAAAGTATAACTATTTAAAATGGTTTATTTCGAAATAGTTTATTATGTCACCAAAATGAAAGAAAATACATCACGATCAAACCACCATTACACCTATCAGCCCAATTTTCACTATTTGGCATTGGAGATACACAAGTCACATTTGATGCACCTATGGTTGACTCGACCCTTATACTCAAAATGTGGATAGTGGCAGATTGCATATATTCCTTAATCCAGTTCTTTCAAATCCAAGTTCTCTGGACTAGGCTTGAAAAATGTTTGGTCTACATTTGGACTTAAAATTAAAAAAAAATGAAATTGAATTGAATATGTGAATCATAACATACCCCTCAATTTTAACTATGGAAATTTTATATTAGTTGGATATCTTAGAAGAAATTTTTTAAAAGGATCATTATTTGCTTTTCCATATGGTATCTAAGAGATGATGTTTTAATGCTAATTTTTTTTTTTTTTTTTTTTTTTTTTTTTTTTTTTTTTTCCATTTCCACATTTCTAAGGTAAGAAGCAGTCCTACGGGACCAAAACCTCACACATGCCAAATTAGCGGCAAAGGCCTACTAGGAGTGGGTGGGGTAGGCTAGGGAAGGGAATCTCTACTCCCAAACTGCCTATAGTGGGGATTGATTCTACAATCTCAAGGTTATAAGATACATCCCTTAACATTAGACTAATTACTACTTAGAGTAAGGGTGTACAAAAACAGGACCGGACCTGAAAACCTGAACCGGACCGTTGGGACCGGACCTGTAGGGACCGGACCTGTAGATTCAGGTCAGGTCCCGGTCATTGAAATTCAGGGATTCCGATTCCGGTCTTAAACCGGGGTTTTAGGTTCGGACCTAAAACCCGGTTAAATTGTATTTTAAAAAAAAAATAAATAAATAAAAAAAAATTCAAAAATCAAAACAAAAAGTTCAGTTTCCTTTCTAAACCCTAACTCCCTCACATTCACAACCTCACTCTCTCAATGTCCGTTCCTCCTCTTCCTCTTTCTCCTTCTCCAGACTCTTCCTCCTCCTCCTCCTCCATTTCCTCCATTCACGCCCATCATTTCTTCCTCCATTCACGCCCCTCTCTTCTCTCTCTTCCATTCACTCCCCTCATTTTTTTCTCCTCTTGTTTTGAAAAGGAATCAAGCGGAAGCATCGGTTGAAGAGATTCGACCTTGCGAGCAAGAATCGGTCTCCTTCTCCATTGTTTTAGGTGTTCGAGCTTTATACTTGGTAAATTCAGTTTTAATGGTCAAATTTGACCATGAAAATTCTAGATCTAGAGTTTTCACGGTCAAATTTTACCAAATAAAACTCATAATTGATGTTTATAAGAGGTAAGTATGCTGTTCTTTAATTTTTTTTCATTTATTTGGTTTTTTTGTCGGTGTTCTTCCGTTTTTTTGCGAATTTTTGGGTGAATTGGGCGAGCTGGGTGAATTTGTTGTGGTTGGGTTTTATTTTTTTTGCTGTTTTGGTTGTTATGGGTGGTTATTTTGGACGGTTTTAGGTGAGTTGTTGTTAGGGTTTGGATTAGGGAGTGTGGTGGAGGGGAAAGAGTAGCAACCGTGCAAAAAATAAGCTGTCCAAGATGCTTTGTCCTGTAATTTGAATTATACTCCGTAAAACGATTTAAGAAAGCAAAATAGGAACTACTTGAGCCATATAAAAAAATTAAACATCTTGATCTCTGTACTGGGCAGCATTATGGCTTAGAGATTAGAATTTTAGGGGAATCATTTGAGGTTTCTATGAATCCCAGAAAACATAGAAACAGTTTGTTGTGACCACGATTTGTGCATGCCATTAAAACCGAGTTTATTAGGAAGGGGAAGACTGGAAGAGAGCCGATCTAATGGTCCGTGGGTGTGGCCATGTGGGTTAGTATTAGGGCGGTTGTATATTTTCGTAAAGATTCAGAGCAAATTTGTTCCGGTCCAAGAGGTTATTTATTAAAAAAACGAAAAAAATACAAAACAGGTCTGTTCAAGTCCAAACCCGGACCGGACTTGACTGTTTGACCCGGATGCGGACCTGTTGAATCAGGTCCGGTCACCGGTCCTCAAAATTCACTAATTCAGGTCCCGGTCCCAACAAGTCCGGTCCGGTTTTGGACCGGTGTACAACCCTAACTTAGAGGGTGCTGGGGAAAGCTTATTGGGGCAAAATTAGTTGATTGACTACTACAATAAGCTAATAGGGAGGGTTTTGTAGTAAGCTGATTCAAAGGGTTGATTTTACCAAATAAGCTCATTTTCAATAAGCTGCTTGGAGGAGCTTTTTCATCAACTTATTCAAGTATTCTAAGGTGAAATGATAATTATATCCTTATTTAACCTAAAACCCTACCACAATAAGATATGTCACTGTTTAGTCATTTTGAATGCTCAAACAACTTTAAGAAATCAGTTATTTACCAAACTGAAACACTTAAACGATTGACTAATACAACATGTTAAAACAATCAGCTCGTCAAAATATGCCAAAACATACCACTTCGGCTTTACAATTTACACCAAACACAAACACAACATTAGGTTTTTTCTTTCTTTCTTTCTAGCAATTATTTATCTTATTATTAAAATAATGTATAGGCTGTATAAAAAAAAAGAATATATATTTTAAATTTGAATAGGATTTGGTTTTCAAAGGAGGAACATTTTAGAAACTTGGATTTGAATACTAGAGCCCAATCCAATTCATTCAAGTTACACCCATATATATATAAGCTAAAGATGGACACGAACAAACTAAACCAAAAAAGACCAAAATACTAAGGCCCCGTTCACATCGCCTTATTTTTGCTAAACTGAAATTATTTTTACTGAACTTAAATTATTTTTGCCGAACTTTAATTATTTTTGTTGAACATTAATTATTTTTACTAAACTGAAATTATTTTTATTGATATTCTGTTATGTTTTTTCTTTAAGTTACCATTTTTAGTAAATTGAAATTAGTTTTACTGAACTGAACTTATTTTTGCTGAACTGAAATTATTTTTACCGACTAAATATTATTTTTTAAGGTGAGGTGAACATGGTCTAAGATCATAAGAGTGGACATTTTTGGTTGCTAAAAATACTGGCATCTTTTTTTGTGTTTATTAGAGCTTCAACAATGTTTTCATGCAAGTTCAATACATAATCTTGCTCAAATGCTTAGCTTTAAAGTTGATTGGCTTTGAAGCTGCATAAACGAAAGGAGTATTTCCTTAGCAAATGAAGGTAGGATATTCTCTTGTATTTCCATTCTGTTTCATGAATAGAAAACCACCAAAATTCTCTGCTAGTTCACAAGAGGTGCGAAGCAAACCTCGTTACCTCTCATTAGTCAATTTACATGACATCACTTTGTAATTGAAAAGTGAAGAAAGTAGCATGCTTTACTTGAAGCTTTTTTGTTTCAAACCCCCCCCCCCCCAACCCACCCAAAAAAAAAGGGTCTTCAGCACCTTCAAAATTTTGTCAATAAGGTAAAAAGTGACCCACAAATTTTTGATAAAGTTAACAATGTACCATACTACCATAACTAACAAAAATGTGTTGTTTCTAGTAAATGATGGAGAAATGCTAGAAGAGTTTAGTAGATGGAGATCTAAAGTCTAGTCCTGATGGCGGCAGAGTTCAAAGAGCACCTTGTCTTATTTACATACTAGGATTTGCAAACTGGAGAAAATTAAGAGAGAGGTTCTGTTTGGGAAATGAGACTGAAAAGAGAGCATGACAAAAAAAGATGTAAGGTTATTATGTGATTACTTCATGTAATGAAAACCAAATGAATTTCCTTGTAGAATCCAATAAAGAATAAGCCTCCAAAACCAAAAAACACAGTAAATCCCCAAACACCCACATGGCCACATTCTCAATCAGAGTTTCATTGAATGAAAAAATCTTTCGGGAGTCCATTATCTGTTATAAAGGAACTCACACACTAGAGCATTAGGTTGAAGAAAGGAAGACACTCAAGATGTAGGGGAAAACACAAACGGAAAAACCTTGCTAGTAGAAACCACAGGAAAACTTTTATAAGATAAAGTAAGAGAGTTATAAGTGGATTTATGTAAGAAAAAGTTTGTAAAAAGTGTAACCTAAAGTGGGGACTGTGTAAGAAAATCATGCTTAGGTGGCACACTCTATGCTTTTATAAAATTCCCTTTTAAAACATAAAATCTTGATTTACTCCCATTTCAAACAGCAATGTCTACAACTCTCTTCGAGAAAGGTATACCACTGATGGTCACTCTGAATACTCGTTTAAGGACTAAATCATAATTGTGTGCTTTGCTTTTTTTTTTTTTTTTTTTTTTCAATCTAATTGTCAAACGGTTTAAAAACCTCAATAAAAACCATTTATAATTACATCATGGCTCAAGATTATCCAAGGAATATCCTCTTATAATCAAATTTGCACAAGGATGCAAAATGTATAGTCTAACTCTGATGAATTTAGGCGACATTCCAATTATACTGTAGAAGCCAGATCTATAACAAAGTAAAGGAGGACATTGGCATTCAAAACCAATATTATGATTTCACAAGAATAAATAAAATCGGATAATACCTGTCAAAGAAGTTAAAGGAACCAAAGGAAGGCTTCTTCACATCAGCTGCACTTCCACCAAAACCCAGGGGTGATGTACTTCTATGAATATTAGGTTTGCAGAAGTCTTTCTGTGACTTATTCATTGTTATCCCTTCATTGCTATAATCACACGGAGCCTCATGCATTTTGGAAGATTTTGGTCTACCATTTTCTCCATCCCTTGCAGCATTGTTATCCAGTTTAATGCTATCAGTTGAATGCATGGATTTGGCTATGCTTTCTTGGACTATCTTATGTTTTTCAACCTAAATCATATGACTACATGGTAAGATACAGAACATGCCAAGTTATAAGATATCAAGCATACATAGTTACTTACAGAAGAAACTAGAACACTGAAACTTAAGATCCTCAATAATACATAAAGCATTCAAATGGGTTATGGAGCATTGATATTTATATTAATGTTGTACCATGTATAAATTTTATTCAAATTTTGGCGCACCTCACCAATATCACCTCAACTAGACCAAATCACCAAAAAGGCACATGACCAATGTTATGCGTATTTCAAGTCATCTTAAGTTGATTTGAAGAATCTAAACTAATATATTAAAAAGCGTTCTTAAGAACGTCTATGTGCCACGTAGACCCCTCATTACGCCACGTCACATACATAATTCCTCAATACGCCACGTAACCCACTCAATTCTTCAATATGCCATGTCACCCAAGCAACCAACAATACTCCATGTTGTTTCAACTAATATATATATATATATATATATATATATATATATATATAATATATATATATAATATATATATATATATATAAGAACGAGGAGGTTCAAACACTCTAACCTCTTAGAAGAAAGATCATTGTTTAACCATCTAGGCTAATTGTCGCTTATGCTATAATCTTGCACACAAATAAACTAATACTATACTACAAAAGTACTGAAAATACATGCAAATTATTAAATGCCTTTAAAAAATTAGCAATTACGCAACTACAAAAGTAGCAACCAGGGGCAACGCCCGGGCTATTCACTAGTTATTTTATGATTGCAAGGTGACTAGTATTTCACAAAAAAAAAAATAAAAATACAAAGAACTATTTAAAGCCTTACAAAAGGTTTGAGATCATCTCAAACTGTTTTATTATTGTGAACTTTATAACCATGAACTTGAACTTAAAACATTACAAAAAGACACCACAACATACCCACTTTATGCATCCAACAACACAAAATTTCTCTCTTCCCACAAATAGGCATACTTCTGTATATAATTTTACTATATAATATTGTAAGTTTTGAAGTTTTGAGAAGGGTGGCTCATGTTGTAATGTTGACTTACTATTAGCTCTAAATAAAAAAATTTGTCTCTAAATGCTCATAGGCAGATAAAAGACTTGTTCATAACACACATGAGAAGCATCCCTATGTTTTATTTTATTTTATTCATTTTTTTTAACGAGAAGCATCCTAATGTTCAGTCATTATTGAACCTAAGAAAAAAAAAAAAAGATCTTTAAACAAGCTTTGATTTGCATTAAGAGTCTAAAACTCTAAACCATTTACCCCCATGCATGGAGCAATAAACTAATGGTTGATAACTAAATCCAAAAGCAACACAAAATAGTCTAAAAGGAGATTAAGATTTCAAATATAGAGATGATAATTGAGCACTCAACTTTGTATGCACAAAAAACATTCAAACATAGCTATATCATGCCAGCTTACCTCATATGTGAGTAATTGCTTCACAGCTGACGCTAATTCATAATGCCCAGGCTTGTAACCCTGACCAAACAAACTCAAAAATTAAAGAAGAGAAGTTAAATGAAAAGATCAGCAACTATCCAAACAACAACTCTTACCTTGAAATTCACAAAACCCGATATGGGTGGATCCATAGAAAATGACACGGCATCCAGTAATCCATCATGCACTGATTTATTTGCTGATGAATCTGATTTTGTGTTCTTATATGTTAGAGAATATAACACCATAGTGCCAATTAATTGAGCCAGATCAGTTTTCTCTTTATCTGATAGTAACTGCACTGCAACCTGTGGAAAAACAGTATAATCTCATCCATCAGAATTTAACCATTTATCACGATTTCATTAAAATTAGAAATTAGCAAGGAAAATATCTGACTTTGACCTGTCACTATTTATAATCATTTATCAAGATTTTACCATCCATCTCATACTTGACTTTGCATATATCAATATCCAAAACATAACTATAATATAATTTAATCACAAAGATTTGCTAGACTTTTGATATAAATTTGTCCCAGATTAACTCCTGTGTTTTTTCACAATTCGATATCTTGGCTTTAATTTCCAGTGGCAATAGGTAAGTCTGAAAGAATGATGAGACTCAGGGAAAGAGAAAATAATGGTTAAGCTTTGCGCGAAATGGGAACAACCAATAGATTATCCAACAATTTTGATGTTGGCAGGGTCTCCCTGTAGCCTGAAGTGATAGTGCAAGGCGTCATGGCAACAACAGCAAAGGGTATCCAAAGCATACATTTGCTTGATTCTTACTATTGGGTAAAGAGAATTCTATAACTACACACGCAAACTACTAAATTTAAGCCATTACATTAACAAGTTCAACTGTCAAGATCCATTCTCACCTTTTTCTTAATAAGGACCCTTCTCATTAGATCCTATTCCTATACATCATATATCTACCCATCTTAAGCTTTTATTATTAACTGAGTTGAGAGTATTTTAAACAACCAGGACTCAGGACTTTGAAGCCAATGACTAAATATTTTGAAAAAAATTACAGCAAGGCACAGAGAAACACATACAAACAGCATCGATACAATAATGACAGGTTTTACACAATTTATTCATCAAGGTAACGTAGAAAAGAATCAGGTAAGGTAATTACTGGTCTAACATCAGCTGGAGAGAGAATATGCAGTAATGGAGATATAGTATCTTCGACAAAAGAATTCGCTGATACATGCCTTGAAATACATGGTGCAATTTTAGATTGCCAAGATCTTAACCTTTCCAACTTTTCCATCAGCAATGAGCGATACCTGAGAGTTTGCTCCAAGTTATGAATAAAAGGCAATATTTTTCAGTTTTGGGCATTAATATCCAGAGGTTTTGCCACGATCGTAGATACCTCTGAAATGATTTAGGCCATTCAATAGAAGGTGTTTCTACACGAGCCAGCAGCTGATGTATTGTGATAGTGAGTGAAGGATAATACACTGCCAAAGAATGAGTTGTAAGGTATGTGAAGTGAATCTTCTTCAATTATATATACTACCTCCGTTAACAGTTATTTGCAACATTTACCAAAAAAGGGTGCTATCTATTATTTACAACAAAACTATTGCTTTCCTAATATAGTAACTTTTTTATGGTAAAATGACCAAAATACCCTCATTTAAAAATTATTAACATATAATACTACACATAATTACAAATTATTATAACCCTAATCTAACTTAATTATCTAAGCTTTTCCCCCAAACAAATCAGATCAATCCCTAATTTCATCTCCCCACCATCTCTCTCCTCCATCTTCATCTCTCAGTTCATCATCATCTCTCATCTTCTTCGATCTTCATCTCTCAGTTCATCATCATCTGGGTGGCTGTTGGTGGTTTGTGGGTGGGTTCGGTAAATCTAGTGCTAGTTGTTGTTTGTGGGTGGTTTTTGTGGTTCGTGGGTGGGTGTTGGTGGTTTGTGGGTGGCTATTTCGTGGTTCGCGGATGGTTGCTTCGTGGGTGGGTGTCGGTGGTGGTGGTTTTGGGCGGTTCGTGGGGGTAGAATCTGGATGGATTTGGTTTTTGGGTTTCAGATCTAGTGGTTCTAGGGTGGTTTTCGTGGTTCTTAAGTGGTTTTCGTGATTCTTAGGTGGATTTCGGTGGTTTGTGGGTGACTTTCGGTGATTTGTGGGTGGCATGGATGGTGGTTCGTGGGTTCTGGGTGGCATGGGTGGTGGTTCTGGGTGGCGTGTGGTAGTGGTTGTTCTGGGCGGTTCTTTTTAATTGTAATGGGTTTTTTTTTTTTTTTTTTTTTTTATAATAGTTAATTAAATGTTCATAACTTTCAATAATCATGTTTAAGAAGTTTTGCCTAAGAGTCCGAGCTGACCCCCTTTGTTGCAAATAACTGTTAACGGAGGTAGTATATATATATATGTATGTATGTATGTATATGTATGTATGTATGTATATACACACACACACACACACATATATGTATATGTATACATATATATATATATATATATATATATATATATATATATATATATATATATATATATATATATATATATATATATATAATTGCATCTTACCAGAAAGAGACATATTATGTGAACGTAGAACATATTGATGGAGTAAGTCAGAAACACCAAGAGTATCAAGGCAATGTACCTTCAAAAACCCATGAAATTCAGATGTCAGTACAGGTTTAACTATTGATTCAAGAATATTAATCCTTGTTAAAGTAGGAACTAAAGATTCACAGCATATGCACAAGGTCTACCGTCTTCTGGAGCATTGGGTCGTGATAACGAAGCTGCAAAAAGTTCTCATGAATTCCATCAAATATTAATTCATTATCGCTCCTGCATCATTGTGGCCCAAATTATCATCAAATGCGCTACGTGCATAGAAAGTATCTTTTAGCTACAAACACATTACCTACCGATAGGAAACCAAAGAGTACAAAAATTCATTTGCATCATATGACTTTCTTGAATTGATATCACATGCTCGGCTTTGCTTTGGTTTCCTCTTTTGGAATACCTAGAAAGGTTTGAGTGATCAGAAATGAAAATCTTTATACTAGATTTAGCCAATCAAGATCAAAAGAATCAGCCACTACTTCACCTCACCTCTTTCCATACATCAAAAATACTTCTTGTCATGTCCTTTCGACCAATCACTTGGGAGCTTAATGCCACCTAGATAAATCATTGTGAAGGAGTAGAGATGAGATTCAAATACAGGTCAAAGGCATACAATATCATCCTCCCCTCCCTATAAATAATGTATAAATTTCAAAGGCATACAATGTATAAATTTCTCTTCTTTAACTTCACCTAAAAACACTTATTACAAAGAAACAAACAAATGCAAAATAAAATAATAAACTAAAAAACAAAACAAAAAAATTGAATTAATATTCCCCGACAATACAGTTGAAATGGATAGGTACAAGTTCAAGAGAAAAGATGGTACTTCTTGACTTTTCCCTTGGACTAATAGTTTACCCCTACAACATTGTGTATATATGATGGTGTGTAAATTTGCCCAGACAATGTGCACAAATAAGCTCGAAAACATGAGGGCCGTGTTTAATATTTTCTTCGTAGACAAAAGATTAAACTGTAGAATATATTCCCTTGTTAACTAATTTGATGATTCCTCTTTGAGCCGCGAACTAAAATGTGCGAATTGGTTAGTGGTACATAATACAGCAGTACCCTTTAGGCCAGTTTAACAAAACTAGGTAACAAATTGCATTCCCATACCCATTATGTATATCAAAGCATATCGTTACTTGGGTAAAATTGTTTCAAATCAACAATTAGCAGTGGTCATCTAAAGCAATTTCCAAACCTAATTTCTAGACCACTTACTCCCTCCATTTGATTTTGATATACACATTTACTATTGACTCTTGTTTCTAGGAGAGTTGAGTGGGTGTAAAAACAATGGACATAAAGAGGTAAAATAGTACAACAATTAGCAGTATGGTCATCCAAAGCAATTTCCAAACCTAATTTCTAGACCACTTACTCCCTCCATTTGATTTTGATATACCCATTTACTATTGACTCTTGTTTCTAGGAGAGTTGAGTGGGTGTAAAAACAATGGACATAAAGAGGTAAAATAGTATAGTTAGCTAACCCAAAACAAAATAAATTATATAAAAAAAAAAACCACCTCAAAATGGAATTTGGAAAATGGGTACATCTTTCGGAAACAAAGGGAGCAGTATATTGAAGCAAGCAGATTTTCAGTGACTATAAAGTACAATACGAATTTGAACCCGAATTGAGACACAGTTACAAAAACATTCTCAAATTACCACTAGAATCCGTACGAACGGTACAACAACCAGCAGCTAAAACTATAAATTATTGAACACTACCTCTGTTACTAAAAGATACTTCAATTCTGAATGTTAATAATTTCAATACAAATGATATCTAATACTCCCCCTAAGATCTATAAGAATCCGTACGAGCGGTACAACCAACCACGCTAAAACTTTAAATTATTTAATTTATGCTAGTACTTTTTATAATACATATTTAAAGACATTGATACTACAAAAACGGCATTGAAAACTGTGCAATAAAGCAAATGGAAACATCTTTTAGGAACAGAAGTAGCATTTATTTGCAGAAGTCAAAGAATTAGCACTGACATATCTTTGCCTGAAGGAAGAGTTCAGCAAACAAAGTCAGCTGCATTTGAGTTCCCCACGGATAATATGGCAGATAACTAAAATTGGTCAATCAAAGTGAGTTTTTCCCAAAAAAAAAAAGGGAATTACCAGATTCAGAGATTCCTTTTTCTTGTGAAGAAACTGAATTGTGTTCAAGCACGAGCGTATATCACATTCTGATTAAAAAAAAAATCAAGCAGGCAAAGGAAAAAACAAAAAATGTATGAATCAATCAATTAAAGAAAAAAAATACGTTCATCAGTCATTTGAAACCTACACAAAATCAAAATACAGAATAAACCTCAGATCCTAGATTGGAAGGGAATCTGATAGAGCAGACACATGCTAGAATCTCAAGTTATCAAAGTTTGAGCAAATTAAGTTACAAAGTGTCGCACGTTTTACTCACAACTTCTAAGGCCTTTAAGAGACAAATGCATCATATGTCAATCCAGAGCTTCCTCTTTTAAGATTCAAAAATTTCAAGATCCTTTGCCTCATTTCCAAGGCTCCAAAAGACCAAGACCTGCCTGACTCCACCTTCGCTTCCCCTCCTCTCCGCCCCAACATCCCAAAGAAAAGGATAACAGAAAAAGCGAGAAGATTGCTCTCCATAACTATGTTTCCTACTTGAGAAGTGCTAATCACATTTTAGCAAGATAAAACAATGAGAACACCGAGTACAATGTTCTTCCATCATTTTTACATGATATCAGGCAACAAGGTAAGAATAAAAATTTCATCAAACATGGACATCAAAGGTCAAGCTGCAGAAATATCCAATTTCATTAGTTAAGTACAAAACACACAGCAAAGTGCTAACATGGACAGCCATTTACCTGTGCATTCAGCAAGTGCAGTCAATGCAATGGAACTTGTCTTCATTCCCTCCCTGCTACAAATGTACTTCAGCCTACAGAGATCATATTATAGTATCTGTCACTTTACAAACACTGAAATGAAAATGAGTGAACCCAGCGAGAAAGAATGCACCAAAACAAAAATATATGCGTGATGGAAAACTGTTGACCAGACTGTTGTAATACTGTCAAGCATTTTATAGCAGGCTCATTTTTATAAGTGAATTCTTGCTCCCTCTAATACTAGATTTACTTTCCCGTACTTAAGTTTAGTGATTAGAGAAATGGAAACAGAAACAGAAAAGGTGGTAATTGAAAAGAACTATAAGACCCTTTGTTTACACAAATTTCGAGTCTAAATAAATAAAGACGAGAAATAAAGTAATATACAAATTTTTCAGTTACAATGTAACAGGGTACAGTCTTTGTATTGTTGTTTATAAGAAAGTAAACTAAGTCCTCTGATTCTATTTGAGTGTAGGGTGACTTTAGATGATGTAAACCTGAATTTTTAAAGTTTTGTTTGAATTTACCCGAAGGAGGCTTATGAAGCTTTTATCCATTTCGAATGTATGCGAATGTATTTGAACACTTAACAAAAATTTAGTTAAGCGTACTTTTTAACTACTTTTCAGGGAGAATTTCAAGAGGACTATGTGAGTTCAAATGAATAATAGATCCTCTCCATTGGGAGGGAAAAGGTGTATTTATAGGATATTGAAATCCCTTATTGGACTTAGTAGGTTTGGGCTCAGCATAATTTACAGCTTTAAAGTCTTTAACGTGATCAATTTAATTTATTTAATTTATGTTAGTATGCTTCCAAAATAGGAATATGCTTCCAAAATAGGTGTTTTCAGCTTGATTGCTACACAAAAAGATTTCCAATAACTGTTAACTTATACATTCCTCCAATATTTTTTTTTGACACCATACATTCCTCCAATATCTACACCATATTCTTGTTATGATTTTCCTTTTTCTAACAACAATATATTTTGGGTGCACTTGGTTCTACAGACCCACAGAAAATCATTATCTGAATGATTCAGGGTTGCAAGCTCATTTTTGCAGTGAAAGCTTAGCATATCCTCTTTGAATTTGGAAGATGAGATTGGTTGTGAGGAGAGGATATGACTCCTAAGTTATTTGATCATGCCTCCTGGGGGCAACCCATGTTCAGTATTATATGGAGACACTCTTTACGAATTTACAGTGATATCAGAGAGGTTAAACCAGTGAGAAAAATGATTTCTCAAGGTAACGGATTGCCCTCATCCAATCTTTTCATCATGTACAACTCTGTTATCTTCCTTTGTTCAAAGCCCATCCTTGTGGCCTGGAGCTCAAGTGTCGAAATTTAGAAGGATGATTTTATAAAATTGGATTTGGTGTACCATCCAAAGCCACAGGGTAGTTAGTGTTTCTAACAGTGACCTCAAAAAATAATGCTATGGTACAAAAGGGATGGTGGAGGTTAATCCGATTGACCCGAGTCAGAGTCTGAATCCGACTCACATTTTAAGGGTCCGAATCCGGTCTGTTTATTCGGGCATCCGGATTGATCCAAGTAATTTTCTTTTTTTTTTTTAGAATAATATGTTATATACTTATATATGCTTGTATTGTCTAAGTAAAAAATTCGAAAAATACCCTAACAATGATATTAACACTAACTACACCGTATATTTTCTCTAAAAGAAATGATAATTATTTCGTTTTAGAAAAATAAATCTACTAATAAAACTCAAAGCATCGACCCGAAATGACCTGACCCGATCTTGACCCGACCCGAACTTCACCCGATATATGGACTCAAAAATTGACCCGAACCAAATGACCCAACCCGAAACGACCCGAAGTGTTGACCCGAAACAACCCGATCCGATCCAAATATATGTTGACCCGAATTTGACCCGACCCAAAATGACCCGACCCAAACGACCCATTTGCCAAGTCTAATCTATACTAATATTGATTATCTTCTCTACATAATGAACCTATGTCAGTTTTTGAATATGGCAAACTGGCATGCATGGAAGCCCCTTACCCCCCCTCCCAGGAATGATTGAAAGGTATAAAGCGGTGCTGATTTGATATATTTGAAGTATCATACAATTAAAGAATATGGAGAATTTTAGGTTATGGATGGGAGATTCACCTAGTGTATTTCGTGCAAAAATTTCTAGAAGAGAAGCAAAAAAAGACATACGAGGTGTAAGAGCAAAGGTTAATCGGGACCTTTGATGTGTATATTTTATATGAATTTTACACTGTCTCCTATAAACTTTTACCCCCCCCCCCTTTTTATATTTTATATTTTTTAATTTAAGTGTTACACTTTAACCGACATATAGTTTTAAGTAAATTAATTGACTTTAAAATAAAAAGATGTAAGTGGTGTAGTTAGAGCATTAAAATATTAAAGAAAAGATACTGGGGTTAATATTTTATTGAAAAGTAAAGTATATGAGAGGGAAAGAAATCAATAAATCAATCAAACAAAGCCTTAATCCCATAAATAGGGTAGAAAGGGAAAGAAATTATAAAAAAAAAAAAAAAAATAGTGGTGGGTTTGAGTAAGGACCGTGAGAGGAGTGATATATACTATTAAAATGGAGTATTTAGCCAAAAATGAAAGTGTTACACTTTGTAGACACCTGATTGTATCTCCCCAAAACCAAACCCAGTGTTGAGTACCTTTCACGTCTTTAATTATCGAGTTAGGTGAAGAGTTGAAGAGTTTCGTAAAGTTTTCTTTAGCCTTGACCATTCTAACCTTTCTTTAAATGTTTTAATCCAAATCATTTATTTCGTGCCTTTCAACCCAAAATCATTCATTTCGTGTCCTTAAAATCATTCATTTCATGTCATCTTCCGACGATATATTATAAGCCCAAATCCGAGTTATAACGAAGAAGTTATGGCTAAAATACTAAACTAAGCCCAAATCGAACCTTTCCTGCGACCCAATGACCATGTGGAGGGTCCATTAACCTTAAACATCATCCCATAATCCCTTAGGATTTACTATTAGCTTCTGGAATCCTCTAAAAGGTTCTAATTTATCCTGTTTTTGAAAAGATAAAGACTTGGAATTTTATATCGGATAAAACACTTGTCTTTTAATGATTTTAATTCTGATAAAATTAGAATACGTACGGACACACGATGAACCCAATTTGATTGGAATTCGGATTTCGTAAGGATTCTATCTTTTGAAAAATATCGCCGAGCGATAGCAATATCGCGTCGCGACGGAAACATTGCGCCGCGACGGAAATATCGCGTCGCGACGGAAACCTGTTTTACTCCGAGTCGGATTCTAACTCTTTTCTAATCTTTCGACCCTCTTTTTTCTTATAAATAGAGATCGTTTTCCCCCGTTTTCAATCATCAACAAGCTTATCACCAACAATCATCATCTTAATCCCTCTCTAAGCTATAAGATTCTCTCTCTCTCTCTCTTTCTTAGCCTTAGCCTAAACACATCACACACCATACGTCCTTTGCAAGACTTGAATACTCCAAACCCTTCTCGTAGTTGCCTTCGACCTCGACGTGAAAGGTCGATAGATTTGAGGGTTTGGTCCCTAATCCTTAATTTCAATTCTTATTTTTATTTATTTATTTGGTTTATTTTTCTCTTGAAGTTACTAACGTGTTTATTGTTTTGATAGAAAGAGATACGAGGCATCAAAGTGAGTAGATCTACTATCTTTATTCCTTGCTTTTGACATAGAAATCATGCTTAGAATAGTATTTCAATTTCTAGTATCATGCTAGGATGCTTTTATGATTTCTAGTATCATGTTAGGATGCTTTCATGCTTGTTAGTATCATGTTAGGGTGTTAGCTAATATTTCTAATATCATGTTTCTAGTATCATGTTTAGGATAAAGCTTTGACTTTTATTATTAGTGACATGTTAGGGTTTGTTATTAATCTGTTTAGTATCATGACTAGGATCTTGCTAATTATGTTTTATTATTTATTATTATGATGATGATTTGTTATGTCAATTAATTATATGATGCTTGATTATTCATGATTTATTGTTATTGCTTGATCACGTTCTCTTTTGCAGGTTTAAAGGAAATTTGTACTTGAAATCACGCCTAATAAGATAACTAATAATTTGTTTTAGGTTTAATATGATTTTAATTCAAGTGATCACCAATAATAGATTTATTTGTGCATTAATAATAAACCAACGCAGATTGACCAGGTTTAGGATTATCTTGTTGTATGTATGCTGATCGGAAAGCACAAATGAATATCATAAGAATAAAGTAGAGGCCGATTTAGGGCGGGTTCAATCTCTTTTAGGTTGGATTTGTACTATCATCCCCGAATATCCAGTCATGGTTCCGGACCACTATGGAGTTAGCGATCTCCGTGATCGTGAATGCATGATCACAGTGGGGCTCAAAGTTGATATTTGAAATATTCTCTACACACTTATGAAGGGAGGTAGTGGATTTAAGTTGTCTTCTACTAACAATTCCTCCTTTTAGTGTTATTTGTGTTTTAGAATGAATTTTATAGGAACCGTAGATTTTTACATAGCTTTCCACTCCCTCTATTTTTTTTAAATGCATCAATTACTACTTTCGGTTTTTTTTTTTACTTTGTACCACTTCTATATGCGGTAACATTATACCATATTTTATTAGTTTTCTCTCTAATTTAAAACCTCACTTAAAATATTTTATCATTAATCTCTTTTTATAATTATATGTATTTTAAATTCATCTTAGTATATACTTTTATTTTTTTATCCTATTAGTGCTTTATGAACTATATTGAGTTCCTTTGCTAATGTTTTCTCAAACCTTAATTTTTTCACTCTAGACGTTTTGACCTCTTCTTTAAAACTTTCTTGAATTTTATTTTTAGTTCTCTTTTAAAACTCCCTTTATCTTTCTTGGAGGTTTTTTCTTTTATCACTTTACACACCTTTTTTCAAACTCATTCAACTAATAGTCTTGTTATGTCTCCTTTTATATCGTACGGAATCTTATGACGATTCATGTTAGCCGAGCCCAAATCATTTTGGGACTAAGGCTTTGTTGTATTGTATCTCTATTTATATATATTTTTTTTTAAAAAAAAAAAAAAATCTCTTTCACATGTTATTTCTTTTATAGTGCTCATTATAATTTTATTAGAATAAATTAATCTTTCACTTGCCCCACTAGCACAATATAAAAAATAAACTCTCTAAAACTCCGCGAAAATTAAGTGATGCATTTTTAAAAAAGAGGGAGTACTACTTTGAAGTTGGATGATTTACCAAGTTTAATGTGAACCATTTGATTTTATCATTTGATTAGAGACCTCGGAATCTTGGAATGTGATCCTATGAAGTATAATAATGCCAAAAACAGTAAAAGCCTTAGTCCCAAAATGATTTGGGATCGGCTAACATGATTCGTCATAAGGAACCGTCCGATATAGAGTAAAGAACATAACAAGATAACTGGTTGAAATAGTTTGAAAAAAGGTGTATAAAGTGAGAAAAAGAAAGAGCATCCAAGAAAAAATTAAGAGAGTTTTAATAGAGAACCAAGAATAAACTTGAAGAAAGTTTTAAAGGAGTGGTAAAAACGTGTGAGTAAAAAGCATAAGGGTTTAAGAAAACTTTATCAAAGGAAATTAATTAAGCTTATAAAACAAGCATTGAGTAAAATAATAAAAGTAAATACTAAGATAAAATAAACAAAAGTATATATATAATCATGACACGTCATTGACGTAAATAATCTTCCTCCATAATGACTTATCCAACACCATATTTTCCTCGATCCCCAACGCACTCATACCACTCTCAATTACCCTCTTCCTAGTTTTCGTAGATCTTCCCCTACCACTCGCGATTCAAGCCTCCTTATCGGATCCTCACTTGGTCACCTTCTTACATGGCCAAACCACCTTAAGATGTAAACCCTACTTTCTTCCGAATTATCTCATTCCTCAACTGACATTCATCATCTTAACATATGCATCTCTACTACATTCATCTTATGCACGTGGCAATGCTTTGCAGACAACATTCGGTACCATATAACACCTGCTGGTCGGTAGAATTTGCAATATTCATCTAATTCACTTTGATTAATCTTTTGATTTATACATAAAAATAAATATAATCTTGTAGGTACTCGTTGGAATCATCTCAATGAATAATTTATTTATATTCAATCGTTATAGTTTTTACTTACATTTTACATTGACATATATGCACAAGAAAAACGTTTCACTTATTTAAATACGGAGAGAGTACACTTTAATTAATAAGGCATGCCGGGATCACATAAAAACAACCCCGTCGCACTCTTCCCCCTTTAAGCTATATGATCCTATGAAATATAAGCAAAAGAGTTCTTTGTACTATATTTCTCTCTCTGCCCTAACCGTGAGAATTAGACTTGGTCGGTGAAGCTTTGGGTAAGATGAATATTATACGTCCTACCCCACCCCACCAAGTGAGCTTTTGTGGGGGGGAAGGTGATAATAAGCTCCGAGGCCGCATCCGATCACCAAACGAGATCTTGGGAGGTCAATTAAGCCATTTTAATCGTTTTTTTTTCTAGATTTTCTTATACATAGGACTTGTATTAGCAACAAATAGTCATTCCTTTTTCATGTTTTAGACTTTCTTAAGCACTTAAATCCTACTTTAAGTTCTTTATGCTTTTATTAATTACATAAAGCACTTGGGATCAAGTTTTTCATTCAATAATCATTTAAGAGGTACTTTTCATATCCTTTGTTTATTATTTCAAAGTTTTAACCTTTTATTATTGTGACTATGTTTTTAGCAAGTTTGATTTATTTATTGCTTTTCATATGTATGAGTAATTTTACTACTAGGACTAAGGGGATCAATGAATGTATGGATAGATATTATGTTTTGTTGAATTAAATTGGAATTGGTTTTTGCAATCTCCCTATTATTCGTTATTATTGAATCTTTAGTAAAATTCTAGTCGTATTTAATTAAAATATTTATACACCAAGTTGAGCACTAGAAGGTAGAAACATCGTGCTAGACTTACAATAATAGGTGGAACAAATCTAGCAAATACAATAACTGATTCAAAAAAGCTTATTGACGAAGATAGTAAAACCATATTCTTGTTTTAAGTGATTCTTGTTCAATTCCTAATATTCATACATATTGGACCTATGTTATTGGTTTTCCATAAAAGCTCTTTCGAGCTATTTAACTCTGATGTTTATTTAGTTATTCCAACACTAAAAAAAAAAACTTATTAAAGGTGTTGACTAAAGAGTTTTGGTATAAGATAAAAGATCAAGCTAATGGAAAGGGAAAATGAAGGAGTTTTATATATAAAGCATAAGGCTTCATTATGTTATAATCACATAATTAAGTGTCTAAATGCTATAAATATTACCTATTTACCACACGGTTTAAAGTTGGCTGAGAAAATACATGAACCCTGCAAGGCATAAAAAAAGCCAATTCAACAATTAGGAAATTTAAAAAACAAAGTAATATTCAATGATGTTTTAACAATTTACATAAGCGATACATAACGTAACCAAACATCCAAAATGGATAGTCCATTATTGATGGCTGAAATATTTATAAGATTCAAAATTCGTAGTTTTTTTCGAAAATAGTTTTAAGGTTCTAACAACCTTCAATTACAGTGTAGATTTTTTTCAATTAAAAGAGTTCGAATTTGGGTATAGCTACTATTTTCCCTTTATATTTCAAAACGGGCATAGTGGGGATGTAAAGGGTATCGCTACGCTTCAAAGGGGTCGATCTTGTGAAGGGAAGGTAAGCGTAGTGCTCAACGTCTAGAAGAGCTCTTAAAAAAGAAAGCATAGGGAGTAACCTTACCATGTAAGAGAAAACTTAATCACACTACATACATGAGTAATTAGAATTATGGAACACGTCCTTAAGAGCTAAACTAGAAACCAATATATTTTACTAAATCAATAAATATCACATATGTACCTTATGTTTTAGTGCAGTTTCAAAAGCAATTTCCGATAGTGAGTCCACAAAGTCTCATACTTAGCTCCATTTCATCTTGCTACAAAGCTAAATATTTCCTACTCTCATAGCTTAAAAACTAAAACCACCTCTTCGCAATAATAACCAAAAATTTCATCAATACATCACGTGAATGAGTTGTAGTCCTTAAGAGAAAAAACTCAATTTTATTCAACCGAAAAGCAAATAATAAAATAAATATAAAAAGCATACATCAATACTAAATGTCATGATAAAATCATCCAACTTCTATATAGCTACAATTTAATAATTTTCAAAAGCCAAAAACTATGTACTCCCTCCATTCTCAAAAGTTTAGCTCACTAACTGTAGACTCTTCTTCAAAGGCAAATTTACAAAAGTGGGTGGGTGTAAGATGAAGGTGGATAAAGTAAAAAAGCAGGGTGTGTTTGGAAAAAGGTGAACAAGGTAAAAGAGAGAGTGGAAAGGTGTAAATAGTGTGGGGTAAAAGGGGTAAGGACATAAGGTAGTAAAAGAGGTTGCCAAAAATGGAACTGTAAAAGTGAGTCAAACATTCTAGAACACCCCAAAACGGAAAAAGAATCACTTTCAAAATGGACTTAAGGAGGGATTATATTTATGAAAAAAGCAAATTGTTGAACTCTGATGGTGTGTAGGTGTCTTCGAACTTCAAATTGCAGATGGCGTGGAAGAACTAAAGTGGCACTTCACCCCATTTCTACATCCATTATGTCCTTGAATCAATAATAGATACACAAAGTTTTATGAAACCAACTTCTTGGCTCTTACCGTGATTAAAATATCCTTACAAAAGCTCAAAACATAAGATGTAGACTAATGATAGAATATTTAATTAAGGTATTAAAAAATAAAGGACATCTTGAAATGTAAACATGTTACACCTAATGAGAAGAGGGAGGAACTCACTTTGCTACATGTCGCAAAGACCTTAATGAAGGAGCATAGAGATCATTGCATATGCAAATTATCTGCAAATTGTATTCAATTAATTTGACAAACTAAAAACATATTATTAAGTGTCCAAAATTAAATCTAATCTTACCGGTCGTGACAGAGACACGACTTTGCGCCCCCTACTCAACGATTTCCTTTCATATCGTTCCTCTTTGATGGAGGCTTCATTTCCAACATAAGACTTCTTTTCTGCCGCAACCTGGACAAGGCAGTTGTTAATGTGCTTTCTAGGAAAATCAAAACATATACACTTCAAACATGGTTTTTAACAGCAGCCATAAACAATGAATAGCAGATATGCACTGAAAATTTAACTTGTTATGCCAATGATTCCCAAGCCATAAAGCACCATTACATATCGATTGATACAAAGCAAGTACTCAGCTAAAACAGACTGTTAAAATCTGACACAAAGAAGAATTTTGATATGATTAAATATGGCATTATTTTAACAAATACACAATTAAATAAATAGTTGGATTAATTTCTTATTCACCATCCCTTAAGTGGCAGATGTAGAAAAATAATCATCAACTATCACTCCGTACTATTTTATAAAAGGTGACAACATTTCCAGCCCAAAATACTATGTGATTATTTGAGGGTATAATAAGAGTGACTGAGTAAATATATCCCTCCTTATATACAGCATTGAGTCATTGACACCCTCTTGGAATCCATTTAACGTATTTCTTCATAACTTATCGAAAGAAACAAGGAACCTAGAAAAGGTATTTGAGCAAACATAAAAGAGGCCTCCAAAGCATAAATTCTCCATTTTGAATTTACATCTCTCTAGGCAATTCCACTTCTTTGAGGAGGATGTTAGTTGTTTAACTAAGAATCCAAAGTGGTATCAAGCCCCTTTATAATAAACAAAAAATGATAATGAATACTAAAACGGACGGATAAGAGGCAAAAAGTTATTACCATTTTTAAAATGACCTCTACTGCACCCTTTCCATCCCCTAGTGCTCCATCAATTTCATCAATTACCTGTTGAGATTAGTTGTATATTTTTTAACCAGAGAATATTTTATTTATCTAAAAACCAGGGTATTGGAGCTCTCTAAACTTGTAGAATACATTGAAACAAAATAACGGATTACATCACCTACCAAACACTTGGGTTTAGAATGAGCCATGACTGAGTTCATTTGCACTGCATCTAAGATCTTCGCCTCAATGGTAGTCGATGACCGGTCATCACTAGCATTTATCTACATACATCAACCTCCAAATGAACATAGAAAACAAAAACAATGAGGCATAAATAGGTAGTGTATGTTTATAAATTTATTGACCTAAAGAGAAAGCACATATTTTGCATTCCCTTGTATACTTTGTGCAAACAACATCAAAATAGGTATGCCCAACCTATGCCTCCTATTGGACTGGCATATGTCAGACGTTTGCAGGAGGACAATTTGGGGAATGCAGCCTAAGGGTATAAGGCTACTAGCAATTCTGTTAGAAGAATGCGGAATCCATTCAATGAGAGTAGCTAGTTAATATTAAGATTATATAAGGTGGCAGCTGTAAGAGGAAAAAAATGCAAAAATAATAAAACATTTTTCTTTTTCTTTCTTCTTTTGGAGTTAACAGCCACTCTACGATATGAATTGTATAACCTCCATCGATGACAACAGCTACTCTACATTTTTTTTTAATTAAAAAATGCTATTAGATTAATTTCCAACTTAATTCGAAAAGAGTAATGTTGGTCTTATCAAGCCAGAAAGGAGGGACACTATTTATTCAACGGCTGACTAAAAAGATCTTCGCAGCCATAGTGAATTTTGGCAAAGGAAAGAAGAAAAGAAAAAGAAAAAGAAAAAGAAAAAGAAAAAAAAGGAAAGCGGCTAAAGATGGGAATACGTAATGGAAAGCTATTTTACAAGGACTCGGGAAGGAGGATCGGATACGAGTTCACATATGAGTGTCCGATACGTCAATCTTAAAATTCCAAGACACAAGGACTCGATATGGACATGGGTACGGGGATACGACAATTAATTTTGAATAATTATATTTTTAATGTTTTTAAAAATAACTTGTACTTTGCTAAAAAACATGAAAATTAAAAAGGAAATGTTGTAGGAAAAACCTTTTAAAACAACTTTTTTGTCTAGAAAAACCTTACAAATTTTTTTTGCAACTAAAAACCTGATTCTAAATTTTTTTTGTTCAAGACAATCTAGGGTCACTTTCCGACATTGACTTGGTTTTTTCCGGCGTTTACCCCCCATGTGCAGGTCACGTGACCCTTATACCAATACCCCCCCCCCCTAATTTGCCTCTTTCACTCTCGCATTTCAAATCCTCTCTTCTCTTATTATGTTGTTCTCTCAATTAAAGATCCTTCAACAAGGTAGTTTGGATTAATTTCAGTTATTGTGTTTGGCAATTAATTTTGACCAAGGATACTCTTAGATTGTTTTGTAATTCTTGGCCACTTCATCAAATTTGCAGGTAATTTTAAAAGTTAGGGTTTCTTGCCCCTTTTTGAATTTGCGTTAACAACAATAGTTTCTCTCAATTATATAGCCATAAAATACAAGTAAATTGATTCATTAGCTAGAAGTAACCAAGAATCTTTGTTTTCTAGGTTTTGGGTATTGGATATTTTTAACCATAGTAAAATTAGCTACCAACCTCCACAACATGGTATCCACAGTGTTTAGCAGCTACGTGAGCAAGAGTGGTCTTTCCTAGTCCAGGGGGTCCACAAAGCAAAAGAACCTGCAATTATTGAAGCTTAGGCTAACCATATAAAGTAGAACAAAATCTCAACCAATAATTGGTGGGGTAGAATTATACATTTGCCAGTTTCGTATCAAGATTTTTTTTTTTTTTTTTTTTAACATCATCAATTCTAAGGATTTAACAAATCTGACCATTTAACTGGCTTTATTTTCATTCTTACTCATTATCAAATACATTTAAAGCGAACATCCATGTCATCCAAAACATCAGCAATTTTTATTATCACCAAAATTATGAGAAACTAAAAATCTTAGGAAATAGAATATGAATAAAATTCACCTGCGATTTAAATAATAAATTGTTGTCATTTTTACATAATCCTAGAAAAAAAAAATACATTCTGAGTTGCTAATCCTCAAACCTAAGACCTCCCAACTCACATAGAATGGTTTATCACTATTTTCATTAGTGCGGTGATAATATCAATGTGCACACAAGCTAGTCTGGGGATTCCTCATAATATTTCTGGGGCTTACAATGACAGGAGTCACCGGACTGTTGGGTGAGTCTCCTAGCAGGAGAAGGAAGTTATGTATAGATGAAAAACGTAGCAGGAGTTGTCCCGGTGAAATTACAAACAAAATTGTTTCCTAGGAAGGAAAAATCTATCCCTGTGAAGGAAAGTGGTCCCATGATTGTAATGATCACATACTCCAGAATCCAGGTTTATCCAATCCAAGATGTGGACGATCAATCCTCTATTAGCTTTTTCCATAATTACACACCCCATGGAGAAAAGAAAGATTTAGTTATAATGTTTAGGAAGTCTAATACAAATGCTATTTATCTATACTGTGGTTTTGGAATCAAAAGCGGGCACCATCTCAGTACTGATCACAGGACCACTTTCGTGGGCAATGCGGATGGGTTGCGGCAGTTATGGCCTAAAAAAGCACCCGTGGTAAGCCTACATACCTAAGAATGTGCGCGATTTTTCATATCATAATTTTCATTTCAAAATAAACAATGGCAATAATGTTATGAAAACAATGAAAAGGGATTGTCCTTGTTCATAATTTCTCAAAAGATTCACATCAATACAATTTGTCATCGAGCAATAAAATTGATTCTAATAATTAAACCTCTAGCTGGTAGTCTTTAAATAATCCAACCATTTGATTATTATGTAATAACCAAACATTTCATCCCATTGATTTTAATGCACCAAAAGTAATTTTTTTTCTTCTCTATCTTTGACCACCACCTACACCTTTTGACCACTCATCATAAAAATAAAAAAAAATAAAAAAAAAAAAAAAAAAACACCTAAACCCTTTGACCACCAACAACAACAAAAACAACCATCTCCATTCTTTCTCCTCCCCTTAACCTACCACAACACATAAACCTGAACCACCAACACCGTCATCAACACCAACAACACCCTCGTCACCGTCATTGCCATTAACAACCTTTCATACCCAACATCAAAGCCAAGAAAGAGTAATAAGAGGAAAGGGAGAAGAAGGGCTGCAAGGGGCAATGGGTTTGGTCGAATGGCCGCTACTGACATGGGGTGGTGGTTTGGCAAGACGTCGAGAAAAAAGGTCGGAACAAAGAGAGGTAGAGGGATATTCAGTAGCGAGGGGGGTTTTGTGTCGTAGGTGGGGCGTCTGAAAGGGGAGGCCTTTGGATGTAGGAAGCCCCGATTGTTGTAGAGCAGTTTACGGTTGACAGTGGTGGGTTTGAAGAGGTTAAAGAGAGAAACCGAGGTTTAAGGAAAACAAAAGAGCTAGGTAGGGAAGGTGTTGGCGCCTTGGCGGTGGCTTGGGTTAAATTTAGATGGTCGAGATTCACGAAAGGGGAGGAAAGAGAAAGAGTTCTTAAAAAAAGATAAATATTCTAGACCATAGAGCAACATGTGGCATGCTTAACCTATCAAATCAATTACCATGAGCAATTACCCCCAAAGGTTGGATTATTGAATAACAATCAAAAGGTTGGATTATTAGAATCAATTTTTCCTATTCTTTATATTGATTGAGCACTACAAAGGCACACAACAATCGAAGGAAAAAGTTGTGTGTGTGTGTGTGTTATAATCTTTTGTACTACCTCAGTTATATAACATTTGCAACAATTGTCTTGGCTCATTCTCCTAAGCAAAAATTTCTTAAAAAGCGATTAATATAGTTAGGGGCATATGATTAAGAAAAAGTAAAAGAAAGAAGTGGGGACCAACCTTTTAGACATGTGAATATGAAATTATTAAAAGTAGGAGAGAGAAAGTAGGACAAAATTTTTAGTGGGAGCATTTGAGTAAAAAAGTAGGACAAAGATAAAATTTTAAGTGGGGGATATTATACCCAATAAAGAAAGAAAAAATTGTTGCAGACAATGAGTAACATCCATTTAATGTTGCACATGATATAAAACGGAGGTAGTATAATAGTCCGCAATGAAGTCAATCCATTCAACATTAAAAATTCTCCATAGGCTATTAATTCATTTTTTACCTTAAAAAAAATAACCTAACAACAGTAACAAACTTAAATACCACCTAAGGCACCACAAAAAAAAAAAAAAAAAAAAAAAGGATGACCATCCATTCATTACTTTAGCAAAGATTCTACCTTCTAACAGAGCATCAATGTACTAAACATTAATGCGACAGCAAAACTCCTACTTTTGATCAATTATGAACCAATGCACTATTTTGTGAAGCTAACACAAAAATGACAGCCATTATCATTCAACTTAATCAAATACCGAGGTTTGTAATTTAACCTTGTATCTAACCTTTATACATGTACTTAAGCGCACATGAAAGTACGGTGGTCATTGGGCAAAGCTACCCAACGGCAATAGGGTCAGGCCACTTATTAAGGGTATTTGGTCCTCTTATGTCTTTATTAATAAGGGCCATTAGGACTTTTTATATGATATATTCAACTATAGGCACCACATGTCCATTTTGACACAGTGACCTTTCCCCTTCTCTCCCTCATATTCCTCGATGCTTCTTTCGTCTTTTTTTGCTCTTTGGGTTATTTTAAACAATTTTATTATTGGCTTCACTTTGAACCCACTTATAATTGGCCTTACCCCTGATTTTTCCCACCTTCAATTGTGAATAACCCACAAGGCCACAGTAGACCTCACTAGTACTAAGCCTCGACTTGCCCAATAATTATGCCTACAATCAAGCAACCACATAACATGCTTGCACCTAGAGAGAGAGAGAGAGAGCACATAAACTTTGTTATAGTTATTGATTCTTAGTCTACATTGGTATACCGTTTGTTTTTGTTATTTTAAGAAGCTTTGGTAGCAATCTACAATGGCATGATGAAAACAAACTTTGGAAAAATAAGAGTGAAAGTGCCATACCACCATCATAGACTTTTGCCAACAAAAGTAGTTTCTAAATGCTGACCTTTTGATCTGGTGTCCTTGAACTATTTTGCTTCGTGTTTTGCACATTATCAATAACTTTAGGCCTATTGTTTTCTTGCTCAAAATTAGATGAAGTCTCTGTGTACTTTCCAGCATATTTAGGTCCTCTACTCTTCCCGGGAAAACTAGCACTAGAATGTTTCTGATGGAGGGGAAGAGAAGAATGTCGTCTCAGTGCAGATAAAACCTCATCTTCAGTGTTTCTAATACCATTACCAAAAACTGCAGCATCCCATTGTTTCAGCCAAGAGAGAACCTGTATGCAATAATATGACATATAAAAAAGAGAAGAACAAAAGCCACTTGGTAAAGAGTTCATACTTCAGAAAAAGATTAAGGTGAACAATACCTCTCTATTTGTTTGTTCGTCACTTAGAAGCTCAGTAAAAGATCTTGGAGCATATTTGTTAACCCAAAGTTCTTCAGTCATAACTGAAGATTCTGGAGATAAAGTGTCTTGGACTTCAGAACTAGACTGTAAAGCCTACAGCAACAAAGCAAAAAATAAAATTACCATTTAAAATTTGCACAAATTAACAACAGTCAAAAAAGGGGCATAGAATCCTATAAACATATTTCAAGTCAAGATCCAGATCAACTAAAAACTATAGGCATTACATGTTCGTTTTTATTTAGACTTTGCTTGCATATTTTTACCTTTCACTTGAAAGGGTTTTTTCTTGGTTCAAGCATTAGGATGTTTAATCTTTCTTTATGTTTCTTCAAGTTCTTCAAAGCTAGAATAATTTTAGTTTGTTACAGCTAAATTAGTTAGTTGTTAGCTAATTAACATGTGTCTTTTGTTAGCATAAGATTAGTTATTAATCTATCCAAAAATCCTATAATTTAGGGATATGTTTTAAGGAAATAATTCTAGTTTGATTTGGTTTTGGATAACTAAAACAAATCAGATTTGGTGAGTTGTAAAAATCGTGTAAGACTTGGTCTTCAAGGCAGTTTAGGTTAACTAGTTTGTTTAGAATTGAATTAGGGACTTGTCCCAATCTTTCTAGGGAAGCTAGCTTATATATAAGTTGTACACACGTTTATTGTTCATATATGAAATACATTAATAATTAGTTTGAGTTTAAACACTTAAGTTTTGGTTGATTGCGATCAATTGTTGTTTTGTTTGTTTTAGATAATGACTCATTTGCATAAACTAGTCTAGCTAGATTCCTTGTTCTTAGTTTGTATGGAGATTAATTAATTTGGTGGATTCTTAGTTAATTAAGCTCAAAATCTAGGCTATTTTGTGGTGAATATTCTGTATCGATTTAAGGGTTAGATCATATCCTTGTGACTTTTGGTTTTTGGACTAAGATTCACATCATCTTTAGTATTCTTTTTTGGTTTTAACTTTAAGCTTTTCAACAATATTCCATTTTTCTGTAGCTCATTACAGAAAAGAGGGTTTTCATTTTATTCAAGTAAATTTATTTGACTTAGGGTGAACTACAATGGTAGATGGTAAAAAGTCAAAAAAGATAATGTGACGAGTGGAAAGATATAGTGATGGTGGTGGGATGGCATGACATGAGGGAGGGATAGCGGTGGAATGACGGTGAAATGATGGTGGGTTGATGAGCATGGTAGTTAAAGGAGAATGGACAAAACCTTAGGCAAAAATCATGTCATAAGTTTGGCACGTGAAGGTCAACATCGGAAAATAATAGTCAAACGTCGGAATCTGATAAAAGGTACCTCCTCACAAACAAAACAAATAAAAAATAAAAAGAAAAAGAAAAACGTTTAAGGTCCTACTTTGCCACTTTTTAGATAAAAAAAATCCCTTTGTTACAAATAGACCACTTAAAGGGGCCCTTCCTAACAAATTATTCTAAATATTTTGTTATCTTAGCTTTATTATGCTAATAAAAAGATTTATCTACAACTTTTTCCTACAATTAAATCTTATTCTGAAGTTGGTTTTAAATAATAGAGAGAGGTAGAGAGAAAAAATAAAGAGAGGAGGAAGTGTAATTATTTTAAATATACCTAAAATTTAGATCAGACCCTAAAATCAGATTAGATTAAAAAAGTACAAATATATTCCAAATCAAAATATATGTATATGTCAGTTAAATATATAAGTTGGATGCGATGAAAATAGTTCGTACCAGATCAATAAAGAAGATAAGCTGAGCTAAACACAACCTAAATGTAGTTAATAGTATGGATAGAATCTAATAATACATACTTGATTATTAAATCATACTAATTAAGAAGCTTCAAAAGAAAACAGCAATCTCAAACCAAACCAAGCTAATCTAGCGCTTGCCAACCAAGCTCAAACAAAAAATCTACACAATTGTAGGCTCCACTAAGGAAACAACATTGAAGGCCCTTCAAATGAGAGTCTTATAAAACTCATAGCTAGTAGCACTTGTAATATCAATAGCCTAGGTTATGTGAGTCCTCTAGCACATACATGATTTTGATGATTCTTAATGGTTTTAAATTATGGTTACTTGCTTGTCGGAACTGTTTAAGATCCAAACAATTACAACGATAAGGTATATACACGTATTATTATGAATAAAAAAAAAATGCATTCAATCAAGACTGAGTAGTATCCACTAAGGGTGTGTTTTGTTCAAACTAATTTAACCAATTTCATAAAAAGTATAAGAAGTTTAAAACAAAAACAAGTTCACATATGTCAAAGTCAGTAATAGGAGTATTTTACATAAAAAGTGCATCCTAAGTAGATATTTCATAAAACATGAAACTCTGAGGACCAAGAAATAGGAGTACCTTCAACAGTGCATCCTGCTCTGCGTTTTGCAGCAGAACACAGACTGATTCTGAGATAAGACCTGCAAGTAATTGAGTTTAGGATACTGAAAACATCTAAAACAAAAATTCCAGCCAACTTCGGTAACCAAAGAGAAATATACCGCTGGATGTGGCTGGCATATTGGATTTCTTAACAACATTATCATCGCCAACTGAAAATGTATGCCTGTCGAGCTTGGCATAGACTCGTTCACCAGATCCAGAGGGGGCAGTGATTGGCACACAATTACCATCAATTTCCGAGGCAAAGCGCGACAAATATATCCCATTGTCGTGCTTCTCTAGTTGAATAGAGACGTCAGGCGTTTCAATTTCAGTTCTAACCCTAACCCTAACACACTCATCATAGTCGGTATCCAGTGGGGATCGAGGACGCTTCTTGTCATTGGAGGCAATCTGAATCCGAGATTGGGAATGTCGATGGGGAGAAGGAGGTGCTTCTTCAGATTCATAATGGGCATCCTCAATTTCGAATTTGTCTTCTTCGACTTCCAGTTCCACCGAGTATTCTTCTTCCTCCTCCTGCTGGTTGACCTCTAGCCATTGAAGCTCATCTAAGTCGGGAAATTCCATTTTTGAACGTTAGGGTGGAACCGCTGACCTAACCCTCTAGCAATTGAAGAAGAGGAAGAGAAGGGGAGAAGGAGGAGGAGGGTTTCTGGCGGGAACAGAAATGGTCTACTAAACCACGTCCGATATTTACCGTGTAACGTCCGTATTTTTATATGAACTCTCCTAAGTAACCCTTAAATAACTCTTTAATCTTCTCTCTTACTTTCACTTTTACTTTTCCCTCTATTTACCTTAAGAATTTCATCTACAACCACCACCACCGAGCAAACCACCACAATTCCGTCACCACCAAGCAAAGCCACCACAATTCCATCGCCACCAAGGGTTGCGACCGGCTACAAGGGACGATGTCAGAAAATCGGAAAGGTAAGGGAGTTGGCGATCAGGTATTTGTTTTACATTTTTTTTTTATTCAGTCGTTCTAGACAAACGCCTGAAATTTTAAAATGTTCCATGGAAGGAACACCTGAAATTTTAGAATCTCCCCCGAAACATTCTAAAATTTCAGCCGTTCCCCCCATAACATTCTAAAATTTTAGGCGTTTCCCCTCTTGAACGCCTGAAATTTTAGAATGTTCCAAGGGTGATTCTAAAATTTAAGGCGTTCCTTCTATGATTACGAAATAAAAAAAATATTAATAAAAAAAAAAAACAACAACAACAACAAAAATTCAGAGCATTCACCGAAACCGTATGCTCCGACGACCTTTCCACTGGCGTTGTTGCTTCCTTAAACTCGTCCATTTACCGTTTGCGCTAATTGGTGAAGAGTAAAAGCAATTTTGTTTTTAAAAATATGGGTGGCGGTTGTTTGGTGGGGTAATAAGTTAGATAGTGGTTACAGAAAGTGAAAGTGAAATAGGGTACATTTTATATGGGGCATGTTTGTAAAGTCATGTTAAAATACGGGCATCACTCAATAAATACCGACATGGTTTAGCAATTCACTTTGGGAATAAAAAAAAAAAAAAAAAAAAACCCTAATTTCCCAAAAATACCTGACGAACTTCATCTTTATCTCTTGGGTTTTTCTACGTTATGACCCCGTTTTTTCGCTTTTTCTACGTTGTGACATGACATTTTTGATTTTCTACGCTGTAACCCTAAATTACCAAACATTTCTACGTTGTGACCCTGCCGTTAAGTTGACGTTAGTGTCTGCCGTTAAGGTAATGGGAGTGCGTACTGTTAAGCTGTTAGGCTGCCTCCCTCCTTTCTTCTTCTTCCTGTTTGACTGAGATGAGCTGCCACCCCTCCTCCTCCATTTCCAGCGACCCCACCCCCTTCGTCAGCCACCCCTCCCCCTCCATTTCCAGCGACCCCACCCCCTCCCCTTCCCCATCCCCACCACCACCCAAAGCCAAACCCTAGAACCACCATCCATAACCACCAGACAATCGCGACCATTGCCCCCTTGACCATCTCCCTTCCCCCACCCCAGCCGGACTCTCCCGCCCTGGTTTCGGCCCGCCGCCGCTCCCAGACCCATCCCCTTCCCCTCGTCGGCACTTCCCCTCCCCCTCCCCCTAAACCACCGAAACCCCCACCACGAAACCCCCCAATTCACCAACAAAACACCACCGATCTGATAGTTTCAAAAAAAAAAAAAAAATTATCTGATTTGTTAAATAATTCGAGCAAGCAATTAACCACAGACTTCGATTAAGTTGATGCAAGGCGGTTGGAGGTTTTATGCGGTGGAGGGAGGGTTTTTTTTAGGGATTTTTCGGGGAAGGGAGAGGGGTTACGTGGTGGAGTTTTGGTGGTTAAGGGGCGACGCTTGAAGTTTCTGGGCGGTTGCCGGCACAAGGGGGGTCTAAGCGCGGCCGGGAATGGGGGCTGCGGCGGAGGACTGGGCGTGTGGAGGCAGGGAGGTGGCTGACGAAGGGGGTGGCTGGAAGGTGGATGACGGAGGGGGTGGCAGTGGGTTGGCTGGAAGGTGGATGGACGGTGGTTGGGCCCCACTAACGGAAATAGTTAAAGTTAACGGAAGCAACTAACGGCAGGGTCACAACGTAGAAACGTTTGGTAATTTAGGGTTACAACGTAGAAAATAAAAAATGTCATGTCACAACGTAGAAAACGCGAAAAAAACAAGGTCATAACGTAGAAAAACCCTTATCTCTTTATTATTGTAGCATCCTACGAATTCGCACAAATCTATACCAAAGTCGCACAAATCTACACCAATTTCGCACAAATACTATTCGGAAATCAATTTTTTTAACTGTTTTGCAACGAATTTCTTACAAAAAGCGCACAAATTCATCGCGAAATTCGATCAGGTATGAGTTTTCTGGGTTTTATTTTCTGATTTTGAAAACGAAATTTGGGGGTTTTATTTTCTGATTTTGAAAACGAAATTGATGTTGATGATGTTTTCCAATGGATCCAAGATGATAATAATTTGTTTCAAGATTCATTTGGTTGTAAAACACATGTTTGATTGTTCTTTTTTTTTGTTAAATTTGATATTGTTGCATCTGAGATGAAAATTATTGGCGGATCGTTGTACTTTAGAGTATGTCAGTGTATTAATGTAATTATTTTTATTGTAAATTCCATATTTTTTACTCATTCCACTTGAAATTTCTAGGTTGATTTTTATTTGTTGGGTTGATTTTCTGGATTTGAGTATGACTATGTTGAATATGTTGATTGGGTTTGATGATGATGTGTTTCAAGATGTTTAGGTTTGATGATGTGTTTGGGTTTGATCAGTGGTAATTAGCAAATTATCTCTCTTCATTTGCATTCTAATCACATTGGTAACTTTGTCACATGTCCCACCACTGTAGCTTGCCTAAAATCCTGTGCGTTACTGTTTAGTTGCAATTTTCCCGGGGCAGAGAAAGTATTAGTTATTGGCATCTTGTTATTATCATTTAAACTTATGTAATTAATTATTGACATTAGACAAGCATGATAAAATTAATTGATTGAAGATTGATTTTATTCTTAGCTGGATGTTACCTTAACTTTACCTTTGAATGTGTTATAGACATATTTTAGAGAACTTGATTATTAAAGTTTATTTTTGAAGAACTCAATTAGTGGGGCTTACTTTTGGAGAACTCATTTAATCAAGCATATCATTGGAGAATTTACTTTACTGCTTTTTCATCAGATGCCAAAACAAAATCCCAGAGAACTGAATCCTTACCTGAGGAACAATGGAAGTGGCTATCCTGAAGATGAAGAGCAAATAAAGTCCAGCAAGGACCAACTTTTGTCATCTTCTGTAGTGGGGGATGGTGGAGCAAGCTGGAGAATGAAGGCTTTGAAGCGTGCGCAGGAGCAAGCAACACGTGAAGGGCGAAATGTTAAAGAGGTATGTTTGCACCTCCATAAACTTTGAGGGTCATATTAATTGTTAGCCAAAATTTTCTCTTATATCAAGTATGTCTACTACTTTTCAGGTTGTTCAAGAAAGGTGGCGATCTCTTGGTCATCTTGCAGCATCTGTGGCATCTCAGAGTGCTGCTGCTCCTCGTGCTCATTTGCCTGCTATAAATTCTCGAAGGATGGGAGCATGTGGGGAAGCGAAATCAGGCTCAAACAATGATAGTAGAAGGGGTACTAAAAAGGTGAGTTGTTAATTAACACATGTTACTGACTAACTCATTGCCTAGTCTTAACGTTGATTACGAGTTTCTTTATATATTCTGTTAGTCATACAACTGTGTGATGGACTGCTAGCAACAGCACATAACAGAATAATAATACTAGTTTGCAGAACAAAATAAAGAGAAAGATGGAAGCTTTTTGATTACTAATCTAGTCAAGCACAACCCAAATATAGAGATACTGCAGAACAGTACAATAGAGAAGAAAGACTAAGACTTTGATAAATAGAACACGAACTACACAATCGATAGGTTTAGCCTATCAAGCTCCATAGTGAATTTAGCTCACAACACTCTAAATAATGGCTTTAGGCCATAACTCTCTCAAGGATTCTCACTAAATTTCTGCCTAACCTTTTTCTCTCTATTTATACTAAAACTAAGTACTATTAACCTAACATAACAACAATACTAGGCTACCAATATTGCCCCTACTTAGACTAGTCTATTACACTCTACACTGTGTTTAATGCTGTGAGTTCACTTCAAATTGGTCTTTGCTTAAGTTGGTGGCACAATTCATATACTATGACCCATCTTTTTGTACTACTTTATATATACACTCCCTCCATTATCTAATAGTTGAACCACTTTGACTTTGTACACTTTGCATGTACTTTGATCATATTTTTCTATTAACTTATTAAACAATTTTTATAGTGTAATATGTTAATGAATTTGTCTTAATGTGTATTTTCTAACATTAATTGTTTTTATAATTATTAAAAAAATATCTAAAGATATTAGTGGTCAAAGTTCTACATTGGCAAATGTGCCCTGGTCAAAGTGAAACAACTAACAAATTAAAAAGGGAAATTAGAATATTAAAAATGTAGATGTGTTTTTTTCAAATTATCATTTTTTTTTATTTCAATTGTATAATTAGAATTATTGATTGAAGAAGTGCATAATAGAGGAAGTATTACTAGTGACATTATATATCATGTCACTGTTGGATTGTAATAGTGTCAAAATTTTCAGGTTTCAGGAGCAGGAAAAAAGCAAACACTTGCTGCTTGCAGCAAGAGGCCGAGGACAGTAGACAAGTATTCAGCATTTAATTTGCCTATTCCCAGCGAAATTATGTATGATATATTATTACTTCTTCCTGCTTCAGTTCTTCAGGAGATTGTGAGGTTCGTTTGCAAGGAGTGGAATGCTATAATCAATGACCGGCTCTTTATTAGAGCCCACCTTCTTCAGTCCTTGTCATCTCCTGCTACTACTGGTTTCCTTATTCAAGACAACAACCTGCATGATGCTAAGCTAAAGCGGGCCTTTTACGTTCACCCATATGATCGTGCTATCAGTATACTTAAGTTCCATTTAAAGCCACAATTTTGGGTTCTTGTAACGGTCTACTCTTGCTTCAAAATGCCATCATTCCAAAAAAATTGTTTGTAGTGAATCTCGTAACTAAAGCCCACATCAGTCTCCCTCCCCTGTCCCTCGCCGTGCCAAGGGCAGTTGTTCATCATAAACCTTCTGCTGCTCTAGCATTTGCGCCTTCTTCAGGTCAATACAAAGTCTTATATGCTTGTTTCGTCTCCAAATATGAACATCCACCATATCTTGAACCTGGGAAAGCTGGTTATTATTGTGCCAGATTCAAAGTTAAGGTTATGGTATGGACAGTAGCTGTTGATGAAACTTGGAGGGCCATTGACTGTCAAGGCATTACTATGAGTAATGAGGCAAAGCAGACACTAATGAGTCATCCGTTTTCTATTGCAGGAGGGTATATTTGTTGGTTTCATACAGATCACTATCTTGATTTTGCCTTGGATATAGATGCTGAAACCATGTATCAATTTGCAGGGCCAGTGTATCAATTTGCTGGGCCAAAAGATTATACAATGTACTTCAGTCAGACTTACTGTATACCGATGGACACCGGTGCGGGTCTAATACATATGCTATCCCCTGCTATGTGTTGGAAAGTCTGGGAAATGACAGAACCGAAAACTGGTCCTTGGGGTAGATGTACAAATTTCGGTGCAGCTGGTATGTATTCGGCGCTTGATAGACATTTCCATCCTTTAAGGTTTGGAGGCGCTATACCTCTTTCTTATTAGTTTGAAAACTGGAGAGTTTTGGTTTTGGCAACGTGAGGTCCAGCCCTGGCATGAATGTAGCGTTGGTTTGTTACAATTGGAAGACGGGGAGTATTTGGTCATCTCCAATTAATTGGCAAAGACATTTTGACCTCCCACATCTCCACGTAAACAGCTTGCTATCACTGAAGAATCTGTAGTTGTGGAAAAGGGTGTTCAACAACTGGTCCGGACCGGAAAAATGGACCAAACTGGACCGGACTGACCTCAGACCTCTACCGGTCCAATCTTCTAGTTGAGAAATTAATTTTTTCGATTTTCGGTCCGGTTCGGTCCAAAATCTTATAAAAACCGGTCTCGGACCAGACCCCTTTTTTGCTTAAAACTATGCATAAAATATTTAAAAATAATTAACATTATTCTTAATAAGTTAGGAAAACTATAAGTTTATGAGTTTTTTAATATTAGATTTACAAAAAAAGGCGATAAAATGAATTTTCCTTTATTTTATTTTCACATTTCATAGTATAATTAAAAATAAATTTAAAATATTACAAGCATATTCTAAAATTGGTCTAAATCGGTCTGGTCTTCAGTTCTTAAAATTTAATTTTTCAGTCTTCAGTCCGGTTTAGGTTGGTTCGGTCTTTGACCGATGAATATCCCTAGTTGTGAAACGACAATCATTGTATGAAGTGCAAGTGTTGTGTAGTTCTATGGATACATCCATGTGGGACTGGAGACTCAATAATTGACGTTTAAGTTAATTTTATTCCCGTTCCCTACCCCCTAATTTTTTGTTCAGGTCACTTGGACCTAATGTTGTATAATTTGATGTAGACTTGATTGATATCATCAATGTTTGTGGAATAAAGATTCTATTTGAATGATATCTTTATTTATTTTACTCCTTTTCTCACTTCAAGAAGACCAAAACGGAGGCATTTAGTAAATAAAGCGATAGAATATTTGCACACAGGTGTTATGATTTAATTTCTTGGTCGGTGCTGGCTAGAATGAGTTCTTATATGTCTTCTGCCACCCTCTACACTGGAGGATTGAATGTGTTTCAAGGAATCAGTAGGCGGTTCCATTGTCCAGTCGCTGTAAAACTCACTTGGATGAAAAACTCTTCACTGCCCACGGGCTTTACATCTGATTGATCATCATTAAGTATAAGGTGTCCTTTAAATTAGATATTATGCTCCCAGTAGCTTATTATTTATCAGCAGCCTGTTGCCTGCAACCCTGCAACAGATGGGCAGAACAATAAATTGAGTCTTTTCTAGACCTGTTCAACGGGCCACGCCAAGCCTAATCCGAAATGGGCCGAGCTTGTCCATGGGCCATTAAGCCCAGCCCGACCATCCCATTCAAAATGTATGAACAAACTACAACAACCATGAAGTAAACACAATATAAGAGAATTATAAAGGGCCTTTCAGGGGCCTTATAAAGGGCCTTAGAAATAAAATTACAAAGCAAATATATTGGTGTTGTAAAACTCTGAATAAGTATAGGATAAATCTCGGACAATAAAATTTAAAATCCAGCACATTGTATCATGAAAATAGTTCATATCACCTACTATAGTACTATGAGAGTTATAACTATGCAAATATGCTAATCATTTTGCAGCTCCAAGGGCAATCCTCAGTCTCGCAGGCCTTTCCATGGTAGGCTGCCCTTTACCTGTAATTAGACCATTTAAAATTTTGGTTAAATCAATACCAATCACTAATTATAAGCATAGGAGCCAAAATGAGTGTTATACTATGTTGGCAGTAAGTGCATTTAAAGAGAGACAATGCAGACACATATAAAAGCAGAGAACTAAAGGCAATATGCTTACAATGAAGATGGAACTCCATGGTATTGATTTATACCAAGAAAAACAGCAAGATTATAATAATAAGAGAAGAAAAATCAAAACAATTACCTAGTATAGGAAACTATCATCAACCTCATCATCATCATCTCCATCATCAACGACCTCATCATCATCCGAGCTAGAATCATGATCCAAATTTGAAAGGATGTTATATTCTCACGGCGCCAATCTTGAATGCAAACTAGGGCTTGAACCGTTGAGGGTTTCAATGAGCTATGATTAGGAGATATATTTTCCCCCCCTACACTAAAAATCGACTTGGAAGCCACCGTACTACCCGAAATCGTTAGAAAATCTCGTGCCAATATTGCAAGCTCTGGAAATCTCACTACATTTTGTTGCCAATACTCTAGAATATCTAGCTCCATGTTCAAATCAAGCCCCGGTTCCTCCAAATATGACTCAAGTTGGGACTTTTTCGTTTGAGTCCTTGTAATTCTTGAAATATAGCTTTGATAATCATCAAAGAAGTTTTCATCTTCAATCCTACTACTTGTAGTAGAGGGAGCAACAATTGGGGAAGTTGAAAATGTCGACTTATACTCATTATACAAAGATCTTAAAGTGTTCAACACTTTTTCAACTTTATACATAGCCTCATCCGAACCATATATCTTGTCAAAACAATACTCCACAAACTTTAACTTAAACCTTGGGTCAAGAATTGTCTCACAAGCTAGATATAGGTTATACTCGGACCAATATTTGTCAAATTTTTTCAACATAGGTAACACCATTTGAGCTAAAACTTCATGTGGACCTTTAGATGTCTCAAGTAAACGACGATGCACCATACATGCTCCCTTAAAATACATGTTAGAAGTTGGAGACTTATTGGCCGAGAACATACATGTAACATAATAAAAGAGTTTCAAAAACTTGTGAACAACACTCAATTTATCTCATTCATCCTCCAAAGGCACATTACTCTTGAAATATGCATGTAATGACCCCAAATGAATAAACACATATTTATAGTAAAGCACATTATCAAGCATCATATATGTAGAGTTCCAGCGAACTTGCATGTCCATACTAAGTTTCCTCTTAGCCTCTAAATGAAAATGGTTTTGAGCGGTATCATAAAAATCCTTGCTTCTAGAAGATGATCTTATAACAAATTTTACCAAGTTTCTAATCCTATCTAATATGTTCTCAATACAAGATAGACCGGATTGGACAATAAGATAGATGATATGAGCACAACATCTAATATGAAAAAAACAACCACCACTAACCAACATTCCCCTTGATCTTAGGCGATTTTTCATGTGCTTAACCATCACATCATTGTAACTTGCATTGTCAACCGTTAAGCTAAGCACTTTGTCATCTAAATACCATTGGTTAAGAAACATAAAAATCTTATCGGAGATGCTTTGTCCATCAAAAGGGGGTGACAATGATGTGAACTTAATGATCCTTTTATGAAGTTTCCAATCATGATCAATAAAATGGGCGGTTATGCAAATGTAATGTTGCCAAGTGTGTGATGATTTCCAACTATCAGTTGTCAAACATATTCGTCCGGGTGCACTCCTCAATTTTTTTTTTTTTTAATTTCTCTCTATAAGAGGCACACAAAGAAAAAAGGTCTCTAGTTAAAGTTGTTCGACTAAATGGTTTAAATTTAGAATTAGACTTTAACATCATCCGCTTAAAACCTTTTTCTTCCACAGTCGAAAAAGAATGAGAACCTTCAACAACATACAATAAAATCTCCTTTCTTAATTCACTCATATCAAAAATAAATTCTTCCTCATCATCAACCGCCTCCCCAAGTGGAAGTCTATTAGTTCGTTTTTTACACACTTCAAGCAAATGACGTATTAAATGAGATGTTTCACTATTTTTGTGGGCAATTAAGTCCACTTTACAATGCTTACAAATAGCAATTCGCTCACCTTTTGCATTATTTCCATCCGTCATTTCTTGCCAAACTTTAGATTTCCTACTCCTTTTACGCTTACGGGCGGCATCAGATTCATCAACCTCATCATCTACCTGCATTGACGTTGTAGTTGCTTCACTTTCCATGGTTAAAAAAACTACAAAAGTAAGTGTTTCAGGGTTTTCTGTGTCCCTCGGGAGAGTTACAATTCCAAGACTGGATTCTGGGCGCCTGTACCTGCAAAACAACGGAGACTCCGGTTGGGTGGAGTTCCGCCTCCGACGATCAAGTTAGAACGTGTTTGGAAGATGTAAAGTGCAGAAAGTAAAGTATATTCTCAGATTCCGAGATCAAGAGTGCTCTCTCAGTGGAGAATATCTGCAATTAATGATTGCTCTGTTTTTGTGAATATTTTTGAATGTGTTCTCAGGTGGGAACATCTCCCTATTTATAGGGTCTTGGGGATGCGCGCAGTCATCCTAGGTTACGGAAACCTAGGAATGATGGGCTATCTCGAGAATTGGGCCAGGAAGGCCGTTTTTTTCCCAATGATTGGAGATGCCACGTGTTAGCAGAGGATTGGTTCATTTTGAACCTCTCCTTAGGTGACACGTGTCACCATTTTATTGGGCCACGTGTCATGGTATTTTTACCCAAAACATTTGCCCCTCACAGGTGTGACGTGGCATGCCACGTGACGCCTGTGAACTGGTGTCACATGCTGACGATTTTTTTTTCATTTTTTTTAATGATGGTTCATCTTCTGGGGAAGTTAGAGGGGTAGCCCTAGTTCCCTCCCTCTATAAGTAAGACTTCCCCCCCCCTTCCTCATTTTTGCATCTTGGAAAAAATTTTAAAGAGAGGGAAAGAGAGACTTAGGAAAAGCTCTGATAACGCTTGCGCTTGCTTCCATAAAATTCTCTGCTACTTCCGTCTGACACAGCCTGTATACCGTCTGTGTAACCTTTACCCAAGGTACATCAAAACCGTCTGGGTATATTTGCAGCAAATTCGCTTGTTTTCAAAGTACCTACAGCGGGCCATCCGCTTGTGGACTTAACAACCAGAGCTTCAAGGAACCGCCTGGGTACATATCCAGCAAATTCTCTTGCTTTTCAAGTGGGTACATTCGATCAACCGTCTGTGTATTTTTCAGGCAGCTGACTGATTTCCGCCTGCCTGTCAGCCGGTCAACGCTTTACCTCACTTTCACAAACATCTTCAAGGTACCGTCTCTCCCCTTCGCAACTCTTTCGAGCTTTTTACCGTCTGTATGTATTGGAATGTGATATACACGTTTTATACATATATCTTCCCAACTTTTCATTACGTTTTTGCATGGTTTTAGGCTCTTTCGAGCCATTTCCCGCTAACAATCTCTTCTCTAGTGTGTTCGGTGTATTTTTATAAGTTTTACAGGAATTTGGAGTTTTCCGGACAATTCGGACATGTTTAGAGCAATTTGGAGATGTTAGTGGACGAGGACGTATAAGCAAGCTAAACAACGAGCCAAGACTAAGGAGAAAAGAGGAAGAAAAGCAGCAATTATAGATGTGCCCGACCGGGCTAGGCATGCCCGGTCAGATCGGGCGCAATAGAGGAAGTCAGGCTAATGGCAGTCAAAGCAATCATCTGAATTTGGCAATCTGTGCCACGTGCCCGGTCGGGCAACCCATGCCCGGTCAGACCGGGCGCGTGGTAGAAGAAGCTTGACATTGCTACGAAGCTCAAGAGAAGGTAGCAGGATGATTTTTGGTCTCGCGCCCGATCGGGCTCAACCTGCCCGGTTGGACCGGGCGAAGAAGAACTCCAGCGGAAGCAATTTTAGCAACTTTAATCCTAAGTGCCCGATCGGGCAGGCACAGCCCGGGCAGACCGGGCACAGTTATGGCGCAACTCCGATTTAATTTTTTTTCTTTTTTTAGGTCTTAAGGGGTATAAATACCCTTTGTAACTTTCATTAGAGACGTTTTTCAGTTTTCCATTATTCCTCTTTCTCTCTCTAGAATTCTAATTTATCATTTTGAAGCAATTTTAATTCCTTGCACAAGATTTGAGCATTGTTCTTCAACAATTTAATTCCTTTCAATTGAAGAATCTTTGGTATTCACTTCTACTTCATTCTCTTTCAATTATAATTGCTTTTCAATTATGTTTTCCATCTTTATGATTGTTATTGTCTCTTTCAATATGTGTGAGTAGATTTTCTATTCTAAGATCTAGGGTAGCCCAATTATGATTGATGCATGAATTAAAACTTTAAATTCTCTAATGACTTTTACAATTGCTATGCTAAATTGATTGTGATTATGCCAATACTAGGTTAGACGTAATCTTGGTGTTATGATTATTCCATTGTTTCTATCGCAGCGAGAGTTGGATTTAAACGGATTTGAGTAGATCAATATAGGGTTTGATTTTCAATATGAGAATAGTTGGATTGATGATTGGGAAGTTAGAGTAATGTGTTTAATGTCTCTAATATGCATGATACCATGAGAATAGGCTTGATTGTATGTCAGAGAAGCCATTGATACTCGAGAGAGGTCCTTGGTATTGATTAGGGTTTACTTTTCCCCATTCAATTGGAATTGTATGTTAGGGGTAGAATTATAATTGCATCATTCGTAATTGTGGTGATACTTGATCTTGGATGTTTTAATTACTTGATTTCTTCATATTCTTTAGTTTATTTTCGAATTTTCCATACATTAGTTCCTTAGTTAATCGATCATTATTGATTCTTGCTTAGTAGGAATTTGAGTCTATTTAATTATTTTTGAACCTTAGTCTCTTGGGATTCGACCCTTGCTTGCCCTGCTACATAGTAGTGGTCAGTTAGGTTATATTTTGTTAGGTACGCGACACGCCTACCATAATGAATAATGGATTCACCCACCACACACACGGCACAGTCTTGGACAGTAGTCAGCCGGTCTCCTGGTACGGTTGAGTCTAGGACTGGGGATTCCATTTGGGGGTGTTTGGACCACCCTTTCTCTTCCTCGAATCCGACTGTCTCTGTGCATGTGCAGGACATTATGGCTTGGACGAAGCGGACGACAATTGACCCAGACTATAGATCAGACGGCTCAGCTGAGGCGTCGACTGAAATAGAATATTACAATCCTCTGGGTGCACCCAGCACTCCAAGTGACGATATATTGGAGGAATCTGATAATGGAGACGACGCTGAGACCGTCCAACAATCTGACTCAGAGGAGTCAACCTCACTGCAGGCGGATGCCGTCAGTGGGGATGAGGAGGCGTACAAATGGCCGTCCATAACCGACCCAACTGAGGCGCGCATGTCCGCCAGAGACATTGTCACCCTAACGGCTGATTAGGGGATTTTTCTCCCACCAATCGGAATGCGCCACGTGGGCCAATCAGGTCCTGCCAAGTGTCCCCCAGTTGGACCTCTCAGGGCTTGCCACGTGGCACACGCTTATTCGTCCACCCTGGACTTATTATGTCATGACACGTGGCATACTCCATGCCTAATGGAGAAGCCGGTCACCTAGGCCCAACTTCCGAGGGAAGCCCAATCAGCCCAAGGTTAACCTAAACCTAGATTGGCACGTTTCCCAAGGTTATAAATACCTCTCTTAATCCTCATTAAGGGAGGGGACGCAAAAAACAACGCAGATTACACACATTAAACACTCTCACCTAGAGAGACCCAATCACTTTAATTTCCGCATTAATTACTCCTTAATCAAGTACTAACTTGACCGTTGGAGGCGGATCTCCAACCATCCGGAGCATCCGTTTGTTTTGCAGGTACAGACGTCCGGTTCCAGTCTCGGAATTGTAACTCTCCCGCAGGACATCAGAAAACCCCGAAACATTTTGGCGCCGTCTGTGGGGAGAGTACTTCTGAGATGGCACCCACGTTTGTACCGGCTCCTGAAGTGAGACGTC